GTTTACTTCTAAATAAGAAAAAGGAGTAACTTTTATTTATAACTTTGTAAAGCAATAAGAAATAATTACGAAATTTATAATTGAATAAAGCTATTATATATTTAACATTTTTTAAATATATTTAAATTTAATAAGGTCCTGATTAAATGTAATATCTGGCTATAAATATATATGCACACTATGCAATGGATTTTGTATATATACCGTAAAACTAGTATTCTGTGCAAACGACATCCTATATACAAACTATATATAATTATATTTAATCTATAATTATAATTATAGGTTAAATATATTTTTTTTATTCTATGACAGTATTATCAATAAATATTCACTGCGATATTATAGTCTTTATAATATTAATAAGGACTAATTTATGGACTTAACCATCGTAAAACAGAATTCGAGATAGTTGAGATATTCGTAGCCCGTACAATGTCTTAAACAATAAGCAATTAACACCCTAGTTATTGGTAGTAGAAGGGTGTTCCCAGTATCAAGTTCCAATTTTAATATCCTGCACAGTCATTAATAAAATCACCAGGATAGTGATGAAGTCTCTATAAGACTATATAAACTGTGGTACCTTCTGAACAATTCTTTTTATCTCTTTTCGATTTGTGTTTCTATGTATAGAAATAACGTTTAATTTCACTTCTAAAACTCTGTTCTAAAAGGATGCTAATTATTTCGATATCACTCTCTATAATATCAAATAAAATATAATATCACGACACGTTTCTATAACATGGAAAAATTCTAGCTCCGCTCGTCATAATATTTATGTAGCAATAGGCACTATGAAAATAACTAAAATAAACTTCTTCTAATGGATGATATCTATGTATGTTCATGTAAAGTGAGTTAACGTCCTACTTATTAAATACATCTTATATCTACAGAATAAATACTGTGTCCGCTTACCTTTTTAAACCACAGAACAGATTTTGGAACGGGTTTTATGGTCATTTAAATACACTTAACAAAAGGCTTGTGCGTAACAATTTAAGCAAAGCCATAGCAATATTTAGAAGTAAATTGACACTTAATGTTTCTATTATGATGTCTTCAATGCAAGTTCCCTATCTTAGATCATTGTAATTAAATTATTACTTTAATCGTTAACAAAAAAGTTTAATTAAATAATGGTTAAATACTGAGAGTAACTACATGAGATAGAGCTGGCTGGAAGATAATGCATGAATTAGTTGCACCGACAAGAGGAAACTCTTAAATGAAAAGTGACATTGGGAATAAATATTTTGTATTCTATCAAACATTTATTATATCACAAATAAGCGTTTTTATCTTCCAAAACCATGCATCGTCTTGCACATAATTTAGAATAGAATACAAAACATTTATTCGCCATAAGACAATTTTACATGAAAAATACAACGTCAAGACCAGTCATCACAATGTATACCAAAAATACTTTTCCCATATTATTGTTGTAATCATTACTACCATAATTACCAATAATTGCGTCTGTGGTCATGTTTAACGACTGGATATTCCACAAAAACTGTCGTTCAAAAATATCCTTTGGGAAAAGAGATATTTAGTAAACGACAGCCCTATTGCTAGCAATATACTCTATCAGGGCGACTTCCTCGCAAAGGGAACCCTTTGGAAACCATTATGATTAATTCCAAGTGACGTCACAATGGGCCAACTGACCTGATTTCGTACTCACTAGTGCTTTACCGGCGCATCCCGATAACGCAGGAATTATTACCACTCGTTTTTCATCCTATTTAATAATATATAACCTTGCATCATTAAAAATTATAAAGGTCGTTACCCACCATCGTCGGCAAGCTCGCCGGCTGCGGTTCTATGACATAACGCAAGGTTGGCACACTCCGCCGTGTTCCGGTCATCCGAGATCGTATAATGCAATACCTACGTTACGTCAAATCCAGTCTCCATTACCAATGGTGCCGATACGCTAGTTTTATATAAAAAAAAATAAAATTTTTGCTTTAAAAATAAAAGAAAAATGTACCGGAGTAGTAAATGTAATGTATGTGGCGGAGTAAGAGATTAATATGTCACTCCATTCTGCTATCAGAAATAAAGGAAAATACTCCTGTGCAAGAAGAGTAGGAATCAAAATACTTATAAGACCCTATACTGTGCCGTCTGTTAGGTGTGACAATAAAAAACTAATTACTTTCTGTTATATTATTATATTAATTTGTAGTATTGATGAATATATGTAAATAATCATCCTGTAAGATTTCTACTTAAAAAGTACCTGCTTACTTCTTAATTGTGCATTTGTGTGTGTTTGTATGTATGTTTAATCATTAAGTTTTATTTTATTTATGTTGTTTTGAGACATTTATATACCCTTCCCTCAAATACTTACCAAATAAAAAATCAATTCCTTAATATAAATTCGTAGACAAATGGACAATTACATTATTTGCACGCACACAATGTTGACAATTCAAAGCCTATTAATACGATGTGTGCGCGACTGTTGTGTGTATAAATAAGCTATGTGGGACATTGTACAGTCTAACAAACAGGTTTAGCAGTTGATTGTACAAGGGTCGACCCCGTTATGGAAAATGACACTACGAGACCTATTATTTAGAAATTTTCACACTTCGCAAGACATTAAACCTTTTCGTATATAACGAAGTTCTGAACGCCAGACGGTAACACTTTCACATACATGTAGTAAAAATAAGATTCCTTTTATATATAAATATATAATTCTTCTTCCTTTTCCGTGAGTGTCGTAAGAGGCGATTAAGGGAACTTAATGGTCGAGGGATGGACAGTAACATCCCTTACAACTATTGCGGTTACCGAGCCGCCTACCAATCGTGTTAACTACTCGTACTAACAAGACCCCTAAGAGGAGGGCCTATGTTCAGCAGTGGACAATTGACGACTGATATGATGATCATAATAAAACTTCTAATAGATATAATAAACAAGATAATTATTATAATTTTATTAATTCAATCAATTAATAATATATTTTTTACTTCTACTAAATATATTTACGAAAAAAAACTAAATTAAATACTTATAAAAAGTCCAAATCAAAAGTCTGACCTTGTTTGTTTTTGTAATTCTAACTTTCAAATTTCTTCATGCTGTTTCAGACGTCATTTCAAGTACCTACTAAATTCAAATTATTATAAAGTTAAATAGCTATGTTATGAGTTTATTTAAAATTTTATCTCATAATGATAATTTTTATTCATAGTTATTAGTAACATTGTAGCTTAATATCATGAAAACATTGTATTATATTATGTAACTGTAATCTTATGTACTAACTATTAAATACTGAGTGTCGATATAAATTTAGCAACAATTTACATATATACATATCGAGTTTTACCAAAGTACCAGAAATCGACAGAAATTAAATGTATAAAAATTCAGTAAATATTACAAAGTTTGTTCTCGCTAATGTCAAAAACTTCTCAACAGATTTAAATGAAATTTGTAAACGTGCTTCAACTAACGAGATAGACTAGTTTTTATCTCAATACAGAAAATACATTACGATAAGGATCTCATTTAGGTCCGGTCCTTTTTAACTTATTTATTAATAACATTATAAACTGTTTCCAATTTTCTGAGTTATGTATACATATATACGCGTACGACTTGAAGTTTGCCAGATTAATTGCAACTATTGAGAAAGCATTAAAGCTTCAAGAGCACTAAGGTAGACTTTAAAGTCTACTTAAGTTCGTTTAAACATTTTAATTTTATCGCTAAAAAAGTTTATTAATATGAAATTCTCCAGAAAAATGCACATTATTGATTGCAGCTACCATATCCAAAATGAAGTTATTCAGACTAAGAATACCATAAAAAATTTGGGGGTAACCTTTGATACAAAATTAATTTACTTGCCTCATATAGATAACATAGTTAAAAAAAGTATGATGTTGAGATTTATTATAAGAAACATATAAAGGTTTCCATAGGAAAACTTGTCGCCGGTAGGTAGCGGTAAAAACAATGTTTGCTGGATCAGCTATTTGTTCATAAAAATGACCTAAACATACATGGTTACCTCATAAAGGTTCTGGTATCCACTTTGATACAGATGACAGAACCCTAAAAATACAGTAATTTAACACCTTTTAACCTAACTAATAATAAAATATGCATTTTCCTTGTCACGTTGTGTATAATTACTAAGACGAGCTCTTCCGGTCTTGGTATATAGATACCAACTACATAGTATAGGCAACAATTATTAACTAAAAACGTTTCAACAATTTAATTACATTTCTGATTTCTAATGTAATGACCAAGATTTATAAATCCTTTTGAAACTGAAGTAGAATCTTAAGATTCTAATAGAGAATTATGAAATTAAAAATTATATTTATTTAAATATATATATATTATAAATATATTATAATATATATTATAATATATATATATATATATATATATATATATATATATATATATATATATATATATGAAAAAAGTTAATAATGAGGAATGCTGGTACGTATACCGTAGGTATCGGAAATCACCAACAAATGCATTCCCAAAGAGAGTTGATGTCAGGCAGACGGCCTGTCGTAAAACTGTAAGCCAAATTTTTTGCAATGTATTACGCCGAGACCAAATAATAATTGGGATAAGGGTAAGAAGATAATGATGATTTACCAGAGGAATGCTGTATAAATGTCTTCTGCTCGTTTACCTCTGTCCCATATTTGTCTCTATCATGAATGTATACGTGTATAGCTGTACTTTCAGTTTGAAGACTAGGGCATGGTAGAGTAATTACATGGTACGAAGATACCTTATGACTTATACCTTGCTATTCCTGGTATGGTAATAGTAAAACATGTGGGACGTCATGGGCATTACAATGTATTCAGTGGTCTCCATAACTTTGTTTGTATGTCCGAATCTATAGGCGACGGTTACAATTTTCCAACAGGAGAGCCATCGATTTGTTTACCTTTCTACATTACAAAAATATCTTTTTTCCGCAGATAAAAAATGCGAACACACTAGAGACACCTGCGTGTGCGCGGCCATCCAAGATGGCGACGCGCAGTGCCGCTGTGGTAATCGAACGGGCCTGCAAATACTATGGCTCCCAAGACAAGCCAGACTACAAACCGGTGCTTACGCATTTGGATATGACAGTTGAAAGAGGCACTATGTAAGTTTCCTCCCTTCTTCTTTTGGTAAAGTTGGCTTCGAGACACGATTTATTATTTTTTATGGAATAGTTTATCTTTTGATTTAATTCCATTGAAGCACAACTCCACTAAAAGAGAAAGATAACTCTTCTTAAAATTCTATAAAAAAAAACGTAAAATGCAATAATAAAAACTGTCTATGTAGACAACCTTACACATTATTATTTCTCTATAAAAATAAGTAGTTCCTATTTTTTCAGGTAAGTATACATATCGAGGGTATTTTTATATTTCTCCATACTGCCATAATATACCGTTCAAATTCATCGTCAGGTTATAATGGTAGAGTAAAAGATACTCACATGCGATTGTATAGAGCCGTTTTTAATTTTCTAATGACACTGTTAACATGCACGGAAATTGGATAGAGCCTCCAAGACATTCATTCTATTATATCGTGACATTATCAATACTTGTGCAATTTCGTATAGAGCTACGTTAAATTATAAAAAACCGACCCATAAGTGTAAGTCGGACCTGCACACCGAGGTTTCCTATTATTATTATATATTAGAATATATTTTGCAAAAAAATTGTGATATACATAGCTACAAATTTACAATTTTCGGATTTTCCCCTTTACTTGTGCTACACAACATTGTTTTTTGTCTATGGCCGTACCTTTTAATTGTGTTGACTTAGAAGTTTATTTTTTTAAGGATTTTGACAGACGGATAGACAGACCGACGGACAACCAAGTGATCCTAAGAGAGTTTCGTTTTTCCTTTGATTACTGATGATTGTATTCACTGGTCATTCCTTTCAATATCCCTAATTTTTCAACAGATACGGACTTCTAGGGCCATCGGGTTGCGGCAAAACAACACTCCTCTCCTGCATAGTTGGTAGACGGAAATTAAATAGCGGGAGTGTGTGGGTATTGGGGGGAAAGCCGGGAGAAAGAGGAAGTGGCGTACCGGGTCCCAGAGTAGGATACATGCCTCAGGTGAGATCCTATTAAATACTTCAAAATAGTCAATTATTAGACAAAATGGTTCTCAATTAATAAAATTCTCAAATAGGCGCCTATAACTGTGTTTATTACATAAATTACATAAAATATAAAAGCTGAAAGTTTTTATTATATTATCTTTTTCTCATTAAGATGACGTGATGATTTCCGCAAAATTGCTAGGAAGGATTAAGTAAATGCATACAGCAGAGGACAGTACAAAGTGGCGCTCTTTGAAAGAGGCCTATGTCCAGCATTGGACTGTTGTGAACTAATGATGATTCTTATTTTAATAAAGATAAAAACTAAATTTAATTGGAATTGACTTATTTGAATTCGTAAAACATCGTAATAATCAAAGCCTAACTGCGGTTGCCAACCCGCTTACCAAGCGAGGCAACTACTGACAAAGCTTTCGTAGGGGGACGCCTATGTCCAACAGTGGACAGTTAACGGGTGATATAATGATGATAATGATAATGATCATAACAATTACTATGTAATATCAATAATACATTTAATAATTCATACGTTGTGAAATTTATTACATGTCTATTAAAGATTTTTTAAACAATGCTAGTCTATTTTTACTTTTACTATGGGTTCATATAAAATTAACCAAGAAACATTTTTTTCCTAGGACATAGCGTTAGTTGGCGAATTCTCAGTTCGAGATGCTGTCTACTACTTCGGGAGAATATATGGCATGAAGGATGACAAACTCAGAGAGCGGTTTGCCTTCCTCTGCGAGCTACTAGAACTAGCTGATGAAGGGAGACTGATAAAATCCCTTTCTGGAGGACAACAGAGGAGGGTATCCCTGGCTGCAGCATTAGTCCATGATCCGGAACTATTGATTATGGATGAACCAACTGTAGGCTTAGATCCTATGTTAAGAGAAAAGTATGTATTTTTTCATTCATGTGAATGTAGCGTTGAGTATCTAAGATCTAATTACAAGAAAAAATAAACTGGACATTTGCCCTTATTGTATGTACTAAAGAATGGTAAAATAGCAAAATAGAGGGCAAAATACTTATTTTACTATCTACTTAGATACGTTGCCGCTGTTGTGTCTATGAAATAGAACGAGACAGCGATATCCGACATTTTACTTTCTCGTGTAAGCAACCAGTGCCTGTCATTATTCTACTATAATATTAGTCTGTCTATAGATTCATTTTACTACTTGTTAAGAGAGTCTAGCTTACTAGACGATATATGCTTTATGTATTCTCTAACGCACGTAATAAGTGACAGCCATTTTATAAATTTATAGATTTACAGAAAAATATTATTTACATTTATGCTAGTATAGTTTATTTCTTGTAAGTACTAGGAGAGCAAAACCCTGTAGATAAGATAGTTTTACTTACTGCTTAAACATGACATATTAAAATAATATACATATTCTGCGGATGTATAGATTTTATCTTAATAAAAATCGGTCAAGTCGTATGCTTGTTTGTTACTGTTGTGTTATAAAAAATTATATTAAGGTCAATATATCTTTTTTCTTATTTCGAGTAATGTCAAGTTCGTTGATAAATGTAAAATCAACAAACTTGACAATATTTAAAATATTTCCCAATTATTTTAAGTAGATTTATATGAACTAAATATATAATGATCAGATATAAGAACGACGAGGCTTGATCTTGTCCTTTATCCTTCTAATGAATAATTGCTGCTTATACTTTTGAATGAATTCAAATATAGAACAAGAAAATAACATTTGCAAATAATTACTGTCGAATTGAAGACCTTCCTTTCTTCTAACATATGCAGCCTTTGTGATTTAGAGACAATTAGAACGAACTTGGATCGATTGACCGATTAAAATGAACAAATAAAAAACAAACTTCTATTGAACAATTCAATCGTAATAATCAGATCAGTTGCTAAATAAAACCGCAACTTACAAAATATCATTATGTATTATCTGATATTATCATAGATCGATACAAATTATTTGTCGTCGTAAATTTGATTTTTTTTTTTATTTTTGCTTTTGATTTAACTTCTTTTTTATCGTTAAATTCATTTGTAAAATTCGCTAAATTAATTCGTATCTATATTTATAAAAATCGAAGTTGGCAACATTTAACATTTTAAGCAATAAGTCTGTTTAGACAATAAGTATAAATAGTACTGAAAAAAAAATATTTTCATCATTAAGATAGCAAACAAGCGACAGTCCGATAGATAGAAAGTAGTAACCACAACGAATAACCGTTACCTTTATAAGAAGTCACACTGAAATCTCATATCTACATTATTCGTCATCAATCAACTTCTAAGAGGAAGAAAGACTCTGCGGTTATATTTTTTTATATTTTACCTCAAAACTCTGTCATTTATAAATCGAGTTGAATTTTTTTTTTTTTTCTATAAATGAATATGCTTTCAGATTAGTCTCATAGATATTTTATCAAATTTGCTTCAGTACTTTAGTTTTTATATGAAAATAACTGGTTTTGTCACGATTGAAGTAGGTTATTTTTGTGGGACTAAATCTTATATTATTTTAAAAAAAACAATTAAACAACATTCATTATTTTGATATAATTATGTAAAAAAAAATATTATAAAAAAATAATAATTTGCAACTATTTTATGTTTTACAAAAGTATAATTTCTAAATTTAAATATAATTTAAATTCAACAATATTCAATATTATAAAATACTAAATATTGTTTCTTTTAAATTGAGAACGCCATCCATTACAGACAATATATACACATAAGAATAAATAATCTTTATTCTTATGACTCCCGTGTAGGACGCTAATGAATTGCCATCAATATATCATAAATAATACCACCTTCATTATTCATCGTGATTGTAATCGTTTATTATGTTCTTTACAGAATTTGGGAGTTCCTCTCAGAATTGGCAAGAAGAGGCAAAACCGTCATCATAACGACGCATTATATCGACGAAACCAAACAAGCCCATAAGGTAAATTAATAATTATAAATCCCTACTTAATGTTTTTCACGATTGTGCATTACTTTCTCTAGCTTTTAAATTATAAATAATAAAAGTTGACTAGCAGAAAATGCATTAATTCCACTCTTTGTACCATATTTTGTTGGCCATAAAGATAAAATAATTTAATATAAAGCTAAAAAATTTGAAAGATGACAAGGATATGTTTAATTAATAAGTTAATTTGCCATCTGAAAGAGTCCTAACCTAACTTCCAGACAAACTATTAATAAATCTTTAGTCTAAATATATGCGATTGACGACGGAAATTTTACGTCCATATCACAGTTGGGTAAGTTGCCAATGCCAACTGTTTGCTTTTGATGTTACAACATACATAAAACACCGGTGCTATTATAGGTAACATATACATATATGTCTCCAATATATATATTTTTTTTATAGATGATAATGTTTTTGACGCTCTTTCCCTGCCACCAGTATAATTTATGATATCGATAATCCACACAATAGATACTAAAAACCATTAAAAAACATTACATAGACTCTGTATCTCGTATAATAACTATGTTAATTTATTCATCCCATCTTTTATGATACAATTATAGAGCAGTGATAACGCAAACAAGCAAGCCGGATGCAAAAAATCTATGCAGCAATTCTGATTACGAAGCGTTTGACAGACCTTGAACGTTATTGCATTTGTTCGATTTTTTTTTTCAAGTTTCTCAACACTTGCAGCATTCAATTAATAGTTTTTAACTATTATTACTAGACATCCCGTTATTTCGTTCGGGTTAACTAATTCTGTTTTATTTTTTCTATTTCTTTTTTATTATTTATATACATATATATATGTATATATGTATATATATATATATATATATATATATATATATATATATATATATATATATATATAATAATTTTAGGTTTATTTATTAATTCATATTTATTTATTTACTTTAAAAACTATGTAAGTAATAAACTACTAATAATGGTCTAGTCTTCTGGGCAAGCATTCGCACCAAAGGATTGTCTAATTTATTTGCAAACATGTTCACGATACTATTATATAGTTTGCACAATCATATTCTTTATTTCGCCTTTTATATGAGTATAAAATTATAAAGCAATAATCAAGTCCCACTATACCTTTCAGTACTGGATGGAGATGTCTAGCTTATGATCATTCTTTAGGTGTCTCTAGGGAAGATCAGTTTCACAGTGGCACAGTAAATAATAGCAGAAATAATAATGACAAATAACAATAACTGCTTTGAATCTCACCTTTTGAAACCGATTTAATAATTTTAACAGATTGGTCTCCTCCGAGATGGTCAACTTTTGGCTGAGGAATCCCCCGAGGAGTTGATGCGCAAATTTGACTGTGACACCTTGGAGGAGGCATTTCTGAAACTGGCGCTCAGGCAGGACCATCTGCCACCTAGACGACAGTCGGGTATGTTCAAATAATTACTTTTACACCTATAGTTGTTTATCTGCGCTTTCTTTTTGTTCTCGTGTCCTCTATATATGTAGGGAGTCATCAGAGCTATCTTAATTTTAGGAACCAGTCAAAAAAAGTATCTAATGTTTCATCAAGTTTTTTAATAAAAATTTAAAAATTTTCATAATTAATAATACTTTGTCTATACAATATCTCAAATGGAAATAACATAAGTACTACTATCATGAAATCAGCTCTTTGAGGTTTTAACGGAATAGTAATATTAAACATGTCATCCGCCTATTTTGAAATCGGTTTAAAATAACTGTATAGTCGCTCCGCTTTCATAAGTAAATATTTTAATACAAAAATATTAAGAAGACCCCAAGCAACGTTATTGGGAAGTAAATAAAGCGAATGCAGTTTGTTAAAAGTTAATACATAACAAATTTATTTCTTCACAGCATTAACAATGTCCCCGGATGTAATACCAGAAAGAAGCATAGCTGGCAGCCAGTACTCCTCAAGGGAGACCTTCAATGTCATCACAAGCAGTACAGACGTTAGTATAATTCAATTAGTCAAACAAAAATATATATTTTGATACCAAAAATATACGATCCTTTTTACGATAAGCGCTTCCAGCAACTCATTGCTGACACTTGCAAATTGAAGAACTTGAGTCACATTATCAAATAATTATCCCCTGTTATTATCATCCTTCAAAACTGAAACACAACATATACGTCTTGGCGGAAGCATTTTTTTTTAATTTAATTAAAAAAATATATATTTTATCATTATTATTACTCATATTAGAATTTTTTAAGAGCTGCCTTACAGTTACAGTTTATTTCATCTCTTTCTTTTGCATTTAATTCTTGATTTAAAAGAAAATAATAGACCATAATATAAACCTTTAAAAAGTAGAAAATTATCAATCGCTTAATTTTTTTTTTGTGTTCAGAAATATCATCGCCAAATCAGAACCAATTTTAATAATTCATTTTGCAATCAATATCAATCAAATAGTCAATTACAATAAAAAATTAATCAAAATTACAATAAAAAATTGTTAATAATGGTAATTTAATGTATTTTCTTACAGATATTAACTAAGGATGAGAAACCAAAAGACTGTAACAGTAAATCTAAGGCTCGCTATAAGGCTGTATTCATCAAGAGTATACAGCAATTCTCTAGGCATCCCGGGTAAGTTATATTGAAGAACATGTTACATAAAAACAGGGCCTTCTAATGCTATATTAAAGTTTCTTCAGGGTTGTTGCCCTGATTGTACACTCCCAGTGTTGCAGGCGTTCATAAGCTACAACCGTTTACCATCAGACGGGCTGTATGCTTGTTTATCACCTTTGTGATACAAAAAAAAAAACAAAATTTATTTGAACAATATAATAGATAAAAATAATTTGTAATAGATTTTATAACACATCTGTATAGCAAAGCCTTTTAATAAAAAAAAATAGCTATAAAATAATATAAACCTGCGATTCTTAAACTTTTATGTGAAAAATATATGGAAGAGTTCGTAAATTGCTTTTATTTTATGAAACCTAAATGATAATAAAATATAATAAGCTAGATTTTCTTCTTTAACTGGTTACTAAATTAATAGTTTTTTTTTTTATATTTACAGTGGACTGATCTTCTCCGTGCTATTCCCCATCATCCAAGTGGTGGCGTTCTTCTCCGCAATCGGTCACGATCCTAGAGATCTGAACATCCCTCTTATAAACGACGAGGCAGTTTTCTCCCCATGTAAGTTTATATATAGCTGTATTTCGCGACTTTGTACGCATGTAAAGTATATAAATTATTTACAATTAGAAATGACCGGCTAGGACTAGGCTAGGCTGTACAAATTTTAATCAAATCCGTTCAGCATCATTTTTACAACTTTTCACGTTTATAATATACGTATTTTTTTAATGGGTGAAAATGGCATGGTAACCCCGCCTGCGCTATCGGTATACACTGACGGGGCACCAGTGAGAGGTGAGGATGAAAAGGCAATTTAGTTAGCCCATCGTAACGAATTCAACGATAAATTAGTCACGATAAATTAGTCACGATAGTTTTCAGGGGGAACCGCGTGGAAATCGATCTGATAGGGTATATTGATAGCACTGAGGACTAACCTCTCCATTATTAACAATCCCTTCCCCCCTCCCCCTATAATATGCGTATTAATATAGCAAGATGAGCAACTTCAACTTATTCTATTTAGCTAATTAAAATAAAAATAGTAACAAATATGTATATAGAAATATAAGAACACTCATTATCATCATCATGTCAGCCCTTAACTGTCCACTGCTGAACATATGCTTGCATACACATATGGTGCAGTTATAAATTTGCTCCCTTATTCTTAAAGACGTCAAACCTCCCCTGTCCCTTTCTTTTGTACTAATTTCTCAGAATGGAAGTGACAATACAGTTTAATAGTTAAAATAGGTTTGTAGGTTTTAGTTTTTATGAAGAAAGAGATCAAATCAAAGTCTATTTAGATACTATACGTAATAAATAAAATATATCCTACCCGTGTACTTGTACATTAAATAAAATTTATTCAGCTATTTAAGTGTGACTGAATAACAAACATCTTTTCGTTTCACATTTATAATATAATATTAGTAGGATAAATATAATTATAAACATTTATAGACAAACAATCATGTACTCATCACTGTAACAATAAATGATTAACGTCAACTTAATTATATTACAAGAACTAATTACCTTTTCTATGGCTAGATTCCTTTGCAATACAATACCATTTAATTGCTCATCTATGTAGTTATCAATTGTTTTATTTTGAAGTAGGAAGATAGCAATTAACTGCACGAACCTAACGTAAGAAGTAAATTACTGTAATAAATCTCTAACTTCATTAATATTTTAATGGAAATATGCAAACTCCTTATTCCGAGGTGTTCTAAATTGGACACCTTAATCAGCCACGGCCATGATCTATCAGGATAAAACAATTCATATTTGCGATTTAGGTAATTGAAAGTTTTGTATGGGAAGATTTTTTTATGCAACTTAGAATGGCAAACAAGTTGACGTTCCACCTGATGTAAAGTGGTAATCGTCGCCTATAGACATGAGCAGTACTATGGGTATAACAGAGTATACTGTTTCGCCTATGATACTCCCCATGCGTTACCATTCCTGAGGACTCAGTTGTTATTCCTCTGTGCTCTGTAATTAATTAAATCTCATAAGTCTTACTAATATTATAAACTAGCGACCCACCCCGGTTTCGCACGGGTGCACATTACATTAGAAACTTCTAAAATTATCAGTGTTTCTCTACTATATTACGTATGTATTATACATATAAACCTTCCTCTTGAATTACTCTATCTATTAAAAAAACCGTACCAAAATCCGTTGCGTAGTTTTAAAGATCTAAGCATACATAAGGACAGACAGACGAGAAATAACTTTGTTTTATACTATGTAGTCATGATTTGAAAGAGAGATGGTTTGTTTGTTATCTCTTAGCATCTTAAAGACCCAATCAGTCACTTTATGTACACGTACTATATGAGAAGAAGAAGGGCATAGGCTATTTTTTTTATCTCGACTAGTGAACACTTCCCAGTCACGCAGACGAAGTCACGGTTAAAAGTTAGTAGGATATTATAATGTTGTAAAACATTGAAGGTGCTTTGCACGCTTAAATAACTTTTCCTTCTAATAAAAAAACCACTTATAAATAACCACTTTAATGTAGGACGCCATGACAGAAAGAGAAGCCATGTTACATTTTCAATGTTGCCAACCTTAGGCACAAATATTTTTTAATATACATACTACAGATATAATTAATTTAACAATTTGTTTTTAAATTTTATAATATGATAAATCTGTAAGTATGTAATTATACAATACTTACAAAATTACTGTAATGTTGTAATTATTCCAGTATTTTATATTTTTTTTACAGTAATTTTGTAAGTAATAAAAGATAATTACATTTTTTAGATGGTCTAAATGTATGCAGAAATAGTAGTCTACAACCAATCATACGGCTAGAAGACGAGATCTGCGAGTTTGATATGATAAGTTGTTGGTTTATTGAAGAGATGGAGAAAAAACTACTATATCCTGTAAGTATTATCATCATCGTAACATCAGCCGTTAACTGTCCACTGCTGAACAACAATTGGCAGGCAAGCTGACAACTGTAACTAGGCATTTGGTGAGATTTTAAAAAGAATGTTGGTGCCCATCCCTCGACCATTATGTTCTATTAGTCGCCTTTTGCGACATCTACAAGAAAGGAAGAAGTTACCTATTCTATGCTGGGACCACACATATATGAAATAATTACTGCCTTGTTGTTCTTTTCATAGACTTGTAATCCTTATCTATATTTATTATCATGCCAAGTCTGTAGGTACTAAACAAAAAGAACCGACTGCCAAAAATCTATATCCCTATTCAAGAAGGATTACAGTTTACCATCAGGTGGGCCGTACTTGTTTACAACCTTAGTAATATAAAAAAAATACACATCTCATGTTTCGTCCGCTTGAATTATTATCAACCGAGTTCGAGTCGCTTCAGATCGAGTCGTTGGAAAGTATCCACCTGCTCTTTATTTTTCTCAAATCGACTATGAATTTAAAATATTTCTAAATATATGCTGTGTTATTGATGTTTTTTTTTTATGAACATACAAACACCAGTTGCCTTATAACTCGACCGAGGAAGCAATAAACTCAGTGAGCCGGGCGAAGTATTACGGCGCGATGCACATTAATCGGAACTTCAGTGAAGCGCTCGCCATCAGACTGCGGGACAGCGACGCCAATGATGATGTCATCAAGGACAGTAATATCGAAGTATGGATAGACACCAGCAGTGAGTATTTTTTTATATATGGAAATAAAATTATAATTTCTATACATTTATTTAGTAATTAAATATTGAGTATTCGATTGGTGAGGCTGAAATCAGGTCAGTTACCCCCTTGTGACGAATTCATCAGGTATTAATCACAGTTGTTGCCTGATAGATCACGTAAGTCTCAACATTACAGAGCTGATGTTGCTAGCAGCTGGCCTCATTGCTATCCTACTGACAATTCTATTCTCTCTGCAGTCCTGAATATTGTATCCTATCCATATACATAGAAACTCTTCACACTAGAGGGCACTACCCTCACACGAATTGTAGCAATAATTTTTTTTATTTATTTTTCAAGGCATATCAACGATATACGTATTAAATACATTTATATAAAGTTAAATTTGATACAAATCAAAACTCAAGTACTATAACTAATAATTGTGCTCAGTTCCAAGTAAATTCATCACGATTGGCTAAGTGACCTGCTTTCACATCCTCACTCATCATCTCTCACTGGTGCGCCGTCAGCATATTCCATTAGCGCAAGCTGGTTTTTTTTTATGCGTGAAAATGGCATATTTAACCCCGCCTGCGCTATCGGTATACACTAGCGGGGTACCAGTGAGTGGTGATAGGTGAGGATGAAAAGACAGGTCAGTTAGCCCATTGTGACAAATTCAATGATAAATTGATCTCGATAGTTTCCAGGGGGAGCCGCGTGGAAGTCGACCTGATAGGGTTTATTAATAGCAATGGGGACTAAACTAACAATTCCTTTCCCCCGCGCAAGCTGGGTTTACCATTCCATTATCATAAAAATTCTTATAATAGACTTATCTTTTTTTTTAAAAGTTATTTATTTTGAAATGAAGTTATCAAAACAGAGAAGCAAAAGTTTATATGTTATTTACTCTGTCTTGTCTAAAATCAATTATCAGTTTTGGTTAGTTTTTGTACTTAAAAAGCGAAGATGTATGGAGTGTACTCGAGGAAAAGGCCCTTAACATTTTATTATAGGTATGACCATTTATTTTATATCACAATTGTATTGTTATTATATTTAGTCTAACAATAAATGTTTAATATTGTTGAATATTAAATTTAATAATTAAAGGAAATATTAATGCACATTTTATCACATTCAGACTTTCAGATATCAAACTTCATAAAGACGCAAATGATGAAAGCTTACAAGGACTTCATCAAACGAACTATGATTGCTTGCGGCAAAAATGAGGGTATAGCACAGGTAAGAAACAACATGTCACTGGAATTATTTGAAAATTTACATTAATTATTAAATCTCGAATTTTGATTTGATTTACTCAAATCATAATACGACAAATTTCATATAACATGCCGATGAAACGAAGTACAGTGCATATATATACGGAATAAATCGTAATATGATTCGTGTAAAGTGGCTATTTTAACCAATCCACAATGTCAATCACTCATACTGATTAAAATAAACTATCCCCTATACAAATATTTAAAATTATTTATTTGCCTATCGCTTTACTATGTTTGAAATTGTCATGATATAATATTTAATGAAGTTATATGTTGTGCGCATTATAATAAATATTAATATTATACCTATACGTATATAATTGCATCTATTCAGCTCATTTATATATCTATATTTTTATTAAACTGCACTACATATATTTACTTTCTTATTTATAAAAACTTTAAACATCTACAAAAACTATTTTAGTTATTAAAATTTTTGTTGTGTTCCTTTTGCACCAATTTCTCGATTTAAAAAAAAAAAAGCAAAATACTCTAATCGGTAAAATAAGTTTATAGATGGTTGTAGTTTTTCTAAATAAGAGGGTTGCTCAATTTAAGCTTAATTTAAATTTGTATTATTTTATTTATATTATTTTACGTAAGTGATGAATAAATATGCATTTCGTTTATTCCTCATTTACAAATGTAAAGTTTCAGACTGCACCTGATGTCACATTGTTAAGGTAACATCCTCAATCATACCATACAATGCCATTAAGTTATATATATTTACTCTATACGCGCAGGGTGTGGGTAACAGGGGGTCTACCATGAAATGTAATTCGGAATTTTCATGCTCAATTTCGTGTTTTCGTTCATACCGAAGTCGGCCCAGTAAATGAAGCTTAACATTTCATTCGTCATAAATCCTACCATAAAAGTCCAAAGGAACGTTATTTTAAAATTTTCAATACTTTTAAACAGCATGTATTATATAACTTTAATATCGAATTTGTATTTCGTTCGGCACCGAAATTTTGGAAAACATTTCATGGTCGGCCCTCGGGGCGCAATTTATGAAGACGTAATTTATGAAATTTCAATAGATCAGAAGAAACAATCAATTGTTAATAAATACCAATTATTATTATTAGATTCAGTTTTGACTCCAAATATCTTACTTATATAGAAATAGTCTGTTTCTGTAGAACTTAATAGAAATGTAAACAAACTACTAATTAGCCTGACTATAGACAGTCTGTTGATTTCCAATAGCAGTAGAAATAAAAAATCGATTAATTGATGGAATGTTTTGATTTGTTACTATTTCCATTTATTTTTATGATAATTTCAACTCTGTTGAATTTCCATAAGTTCTATTGTTCCTTTGCAACAAAAACTCGAATTCGAAAAAATCAAAATGTCAGTGGTCACCCGCACCTTGCTCCAACACACGGAGATTATTTAGATGTAACATATTTTACGTATACATATACAAAATTTTATAATAATATAAATTTAACTAACGTAACATTTAAACACACAAAAATATTATAAAACACTGTCTTGAATATTGTTTTAATCCGTATAGTAGTGTTCATTTGCAATTGTATGTGCCAAATGTATGTCTATAAATTTATTAAAATTTATTACTTCAAATATTATTCATTTTGTATTAGACAAACTCTTTTGTTTAGATATAAACAGATGTTAAACACGCTTCTAGACAACTACCCTATATTGAATACCTGTCTATCGCCAGTTTAAGTTTTTTGTGGTAAAACGTTGATTGCTACAAATATAATATTTTAGCTAACTATAATTTACTACTATCACCCCAATATTAGTTTAAAGCACAGATAATATAATACTAATTGTAAGTCATGGACGAAAGGTTACCTTCTTACAGTTTTTGTCTGATTAATATAAACCTATACTTACAGGTGACTCTGAATGATTGAGAATAACTGAAAATGTTTCCAACACTAATAATACGATGTATAATATTAGTTTCATATTGATATTTGCAGCTACCAATAAAGTTCCACAAGCCCATCTATGGAGAGAACGACGCACAATTCCAGAGTTTCATGGCACCAGGTATTATGATCACGTAAGTATATATGATATTGATTCATTATACAGACAGACAAACATTCTAAAGATTATTGTTTTGGCTTCTACTGGTCTTATTAAGACCCTTAACATAAATTTTTCTTAACCACTCATATCACTGGTACAGACATTTTTTTTAATGAATGATAATAGAATGGTAATCCCACCTGTGCTAACGGTATACGCTGGCGGGACACAAATGAGGGATGATAAGTAAGAATGAAAAGACGGGCCAGTTAGCTCATCGTAATAAATACACCTGGAATTCGGCACGGTGTTTTCCAGGGGGGGGACCACGTGGAGGTCAACCTAACAGGACATATTGTTAGCAATGAGACTGGTACACATTACTAATATCCCCCTTCCCCCACACAGACATATTAGTAAGATATGTATATATATTTGTATATAGATTTCTCGCGAGTAAAGCCACGGGTTACAGTTAGTAAATTATGTTTGTATCCAACCAGGATAATATTCTTCCTGTCTGCGGTGGTGACCTCGACGTTGATGATCAGCGACAGGCTAGAAGGCGTGTGGGAGCGCAGCGCGGTGGCTGGCGTCAAGCCCAAGGAGATGCTCAACGTTCACATCATATTGCAGTCCGGAGTTATACTATTGCAGGTTTGTTACTCTTTCATCATCATCACAATTAAATTTTCTATAATAAATATAAATAATAATCTCCAAAAACTGCCATAGGAAATTATCTCGGACCATTGAGGATTTCTCTAAATTTCCAGACAATTGAACTCATCGTTCCGTCTCGTTGAGAGTTTTGATCTTAGTGGAGATTTTACACTTCAATGAATTTTATATATATACGTACATAAGTACTTTTTTTATGCGACTTAGAATAGCAAACAAACTGGCGACTCACCTGAAACTGTATCTAAAAAGAGTCACAGCTAAGTTTTTGTGAATTCTTCTCAGCAGATAACGTCATTACGAATCCAGTAGTAGAATCATAAAAAGGGACAACACAAAAAAGCTTGTAAATCTATCTTCAATCAAAAATATTGTACAAAGATCGAACCCGCAAAATGAAACAATATACTAAACAGCTACACAATCATCCTAAAATAAAAAAAAAAGTTTGTAACAATAGATGTTTGTTAATCTTTCACGCAACATGTGAATTTAATACACGAATTCGTTATAATCTAACTAAACATATAAGATACTCTACATATTTGACGAAATTCGCAATATCACTAGTTAAGTCTTCATCATCATCTAAACCTGAAAAAGATTGGTTACCGCCATTAGGCTTTAGAGATGTCTTAAGAGAGACGCTGCTGCCCATCCCTCGCCCTCCCTTAGTCGCCTCTTACGACACCCACGGGATAGGAATGGTATACATCCTTACTAGTATAATAAAATTGTAAAAAATATAATTCGGAAAAAGAAAAAAAAATAATTGAAGGTTCATAATGAAATCAATCAAAACAAAATATTTTTGTGTTAATCTAATATCGAAAAACTATTAAAAACATGATTGAATTTTTTTTTATTACACGGTCCACCTGATGGAATTGGTTATAATCATGAACATAAACATATACTGTTTCGCCCATGATACCCCCATGCGTTGCCATTCCTATATATTTGTCGAAATTCGCAAAATCACTAGTTAAGTCTTCATCATCATCTTATCAGCCTTTAACTGTCCACTGCTGAACATAAGCCTGGATACGTGATATAAAAATCTAATATCTATGCGTAAAATAACATAGCAAGCCAAATACTAGCTGTTGATATAATTAATCATATTATTTACAGACAATAGAGATGATGGGTCTAGCGTTTTTGGGTTATGGACTCCATTCCCAAGGATCGCTCCTGACCTGTGGCATCCTGCTGTTCCTGCAAGGACTCTGCGGAATGTGCTACGGATTCCTTTTGTCCATATATTGTGGTAGTTACACCATGTCCTACTTTGTCGCCACAGGAAGCTTCTATCCCATGATTTTATTGTGTGGTTAGTATAAATTCATATATTATTTATACATATACTGTGTGAAGTCAATATCATTCGATAGCATTATTTAAAAAAATTGTTTTGCCAATGCCGATTCTGAGACGCTGTTCCTCTAAGCCTATCATTTAACCTAATATTTTTATTTGATAATATCTCGAAATTATTATTATATATATGGATCATCGTCATTATCATCATTATCTCAGCCATGATCTGTCTACTGCTAAACACAGGCCTCCCCCATAGACTGCCATTAGAAACGATCCAGAGCCACCAGCATCCACTGACTCCCTGCAATGCATTTGAGGTTGTCACTCCATCTAGTGAGGAGGCATCCTACACTGCGTTTGCCCGTATGAGGTCGCCACTCAAGAACCTTTCTTCCCTATCGGTTGTCGGTTCTTCGAGCTATGTGACCAGCCAATTACCACTTCAGCTTGCTTATCCTTCTTATATGAACCACAGTAAACTGAATTTATAATAATTTTGACATAATAATATTTAAAAATTTACTTCATATTAGGCTTTAGAATAAAGATTTCGTTATAATATCAAATTGAAATATTAATTTTAGACATAAGTTTAAAAAAATTACGCCTCAAAATCGGTCCTATTGTATCTGAACATTTCTTGCAAATGTACTAACAATATATTGGACTCATGTGTTTTTTTGGACAATACCTAAATTCAGTTTAACTGGTAAAACTCCCTTAAAAATGTTGCGTAATTGGTTTTTAAATCACTTTATATTATATTTTTATAAAACTTAGAATGGCAAATATCAGCCTGACACCCCCAAGTGGATTATGGAAAGTCATAAATGTTATTTATAAATATGAAGAGCACAATGGACGTGGAATACACCATGGCATCCATTCGTTGTCAATCCTGACAACTAAAATACACCTCTTCAAACCGAAATATGCCGTAAGCGTAGCTGATTGGCAGCAGAAATAGGCGGGACAAAAGTACCCAAACAGACTCACTTACATGCGGACGAAAGTAAAATATGAATATCAAGCATTTTCAATTAACTCCACAGGTATCCTTTGGCCCTTGGAGGGCATGTCGACAGCGTTAAGATACATTGCCCTCACTTTGCCCTTCACAATCCCCTCCAAGTCCCTTCGGGATATCACGGAAAAGGGGTACTCCATTGCCGACCCATCGGTGTACCATGGATTCTTGGTGACGTTAGCGTGGATCGTGATAACGTTGATGCTGTGTCTAATCAGACTGAAATATAAGAAAATGTAATGTCTAAAGACTTTAAATTTGTATATAGAATGGTAAATTGTAGATAAAATTGAGTGTAATTCCGAAATCAGCCAAAATCAAAAATCAGTATAAAGATCATTGTTTCTCGTAGATTTATTTATAGATTATTTGCTCTATTTGCAGAAAATAATCATTAAATTTTTTTTTTTATATAACTGACCTACCAGTGAACATGACAAATCAAGCAATATTATCTATTCTGTAATAAATGACGTTATTTTAAAATTGAAATAAGTAGATAGGTATTATTAAAAGGTAAAAATCATAAAACCGCATAGCGTAGAGGTTACGGGTTTAAACACCGCCCAATTCGAATTTATTCAATCGTGATTTTCATATTTTAATAATAAATATTTTTTTATATACATTTTAGTACATAGACAACATTAATTTCAGAAACACGCTTATTTTTATTGGCAGTACCTAGTAAACTTCTTAAATTCTTATTCAATAATGGATACAACAGATTCAATTAAATAAGAGGTATTTTAAACTTTTAAACCCAAATCAGTTATATCAATTCTTGTAATAAAAAAATTTGCCAAAAGCATTTCAAAATCGTGCCAAATCTTATTCACTACCGTCTTTACCGTGATATTTTATAGTGTGTACGTAAATATAAGTACTTTGTGTGAAACTAAATAAATTGTGATCCATTATCCTAACATTTAAAAAAATAATATGTGCAGCGTACGAGCACAGTAGGTATAGATAGTAATAATTAAAGATTTTGTTCCACCAACACGAGTACCACTCTAACAAATTTAGTATGAAACCAAAACAGTAATAAATCGTATATATTGCAAAACAATCATCAAAAGCAATACAAACAGTAAAAGGAGAAAGAGATCAGCTACTCACTGCTGGCGGATGCCGGGCGTAGCCGTCTCGTTCTAAAATGCATTTAGCAGCGAAAACGTATCTATCTATATGTTCATATACCGCATATCTAAGTGGTTAAATACTTTAGAATATTGTACATGAACATTACATCCACACTATGATCTATGTACCTACTGCTCTTGATACCGGAAAAAATGGTAGTGAAATAAGTTGCGACAGCCACAACGATAGCATTTACAATCATTTTATATGTATATATATGATGGTATATTTATTTAGAAAACAAATTAAATGAATCCCAAGTGCTCGTGAATTTCACTACTATAAGCCCTTAAGTTAGGTTATAAAAAATTGAGCAAAGCTCTATCGGGTAGCATGTATATAGCTTACTACATTATTTAGATATAGAATATAAAAGTTTAGAAATAAAATGATCTTAGAGTAATCCTCTTATTTCACTACAGTAAGGAACTACAGCAGAATCGTAGTCAAATTTATCTGTGGTCAAATAAAACTTATAGAGATAAGAAAATGGTATTACGGATGGAATGGATAATAACATAGGTACCTACGTTAAGTTTAGGGAACAGGGTGAACGATTCTTCGTTTTCTTACATATCAATAATTAAATATTGTATCCCACAAAAAGAAACTACTTCAATTGTGACAAAATCAGTTATTTTGATTTAGAAACTAAGCTACTTAACCGATATTGATATAATTTCTATGAAAACAATCAGTGAGTACTTATATTTTTTTCTCAGGAAAAAAATCCAAATCGGTTTAGAACTGACGGAGTTATGAGGTAACAAATATAAAAAAATACAACCAAATTGAGAGCCTGAAGTCGGCTGAAAGTAAAAGAAGTTTTAAGCTTTGTTAAAACAAATTCAATTACACTGTAAAATTTGTTCTACCGCTGGATAGAGTTCTTGACTTTTTATAGGATATTGACTTATAAAACTATGCTGATTAGGTAACTTGGAGGTTTTATTTCTCTTTAATGTATCATATAATATTACGGAATTCTTGGGGATAAAAAAGATTTGTGGTTGTGACACATAATATTCCTATTTCATCACCATACGTGATTATCCCTGAGGCAAACTAGACGTCTGCCTAGAGGCGTGAGGTTACAAAGAGGCGCGCACACGGAGTTTTAAAACAAATAAAAAAAATGTGTTAATCGAACTTCCCTACACAATATTAAAGATATATTTATACAATTTAGTCAAACATTGACATAGCCTTAAGAATATGCGTATCGACGGCAATCAGCAATTGCAGTGGTGAAAAAATTTTTACCTCTAGTATGAAAATGTATTTTTCTAATTTTTTTTAACAATTGTTATTGAATGTGATTAGTATCAATTTTTAAATCAATAATTCATAACTTCAATCATCAATGTTTACTACTACTAGTACCCATTAAAATTTATAATATATGGCCCACTAGAGGGGCGCCGATGAGGTGCTCTTAACATTTAATCCGCTTCTGATTGGCAGTATATTACTGCTAGTAACTTAAAGGATGAGTGGGCTGTATTTTACATGTGTATTAAATGACTTGATTATAGTTATTCACAATTGAATACATTAAAACAATGTTCAACAAAATTAGTATTTACTATTTTAGTTGGTTTTTAACCAATTACCAGTTATTTTGTCACTACCGTCTAATGTAAGGTAGATAAGTACTCGCGTGATACAAATTGTGATTTGTGAGTATTTATGAATAAAATTTTAAAAACTGTTATAAACTTTGTTTTAATTGCTTCTGATAGGATTATTTTAAGTTGAAAAAGGTAGGATTATCTAAATGTTTGCATAACAGAAATAATTGGATGCCTTATAGCACCGTAAGTACTAATAAGAATTATTTATGACGACAGTAAAATAATGTTTCCTTCATCCTATAACCTCGTATCCTTTAGACATAACCGTTGGGAGTAAATCATTTCCGGTTCGGTTGCTCGTATTCATGGACCATATTGTCACCTGTGTTCGCTGAGGATGATGTCACATGTCGTCCTATAATAACAAGATATAAACTTTTCTTATGAAACTTAAAATAGAAAAAGAAGTTGATATATTACCTGATGAAAAATGGTAACCATTGCATAAACAGTACCATGGATATTACAGAACATATTATGATGCCCATCATATCCTGATGATGATCATACGTTGCCTTTCCCAAGAACTTATGTTATCTATACCCCGTAATTTCACTGCCATTTCCTTCAAACCGAAACACAGTTATATAAGTACAGCTGCTTTACGGCAGAAACAAGAGTGGAACAGAGGTTACCCATGCAGATGACTTTTGTATATTCTTCCTCCTGCTCCACGCCTACGCTCTTTACTCTGGTCCATCCATTTTTTTATGTGTACTACGTACACGTGGATTACAGAAGTAGGGAAATAAATACCAAAAGCTAAAACATTACCAAGTTAGACCTCCAGAAAGATAACTGTGAAAACTATCCAATTTGGAAAAGTAGTACTTGCAAGTAGTGCTTGGAAAAGTAGTGATGCCAGAACAAACATACAGACAGAAAAAAATATCGTTTTGGCTTCTATTGGTCTCATAAGGAAACCTCAGTTTTTCTTTTACGTATGTTTAGACATTATAATAAAGAGATTATTATAATAACCTGTGATAGACTATCATAAAGATATATACAAAATAAAACTGCAGAATCAGATATAAAAATTTATATTATAGGAAATATTTTTGGATTAAACAACAACATTCCGTAAAGAACCCGCAACTCCGCTCCGGTCGCGTCATGGCACATCGAATGAATTTTAGCAACAATCGACTGACAATTTGCACCCGTGGATCCATTAGTAAACATTATTACATACATATCTGAAAGGTTACACGACTGCATGTCTCATGTAAAACAATTTCTATGGTGTTCATAAAATGCTTAAAAATTTATCCACTACTTAAGTACAAGTGGGTGTAGTATAAAACATATTAATTTATATAAATACATTGGAAGGCGAATACTAACGCCAATATTCTAGAGTTACATTTCATTAATTAAAACTTGACATTTGAATTGAAAATATTTGATAATCATTGTAAATATAAACCATATATAAATTTCCATATATTGTTACTAAATTTGAGCCCATATATTGTTATTTGCAAAAATTTTTTTAAACACTAATATGATAACAGAATCATCATTTACACTGTTATGATATGCGAAATCAATACTAAGAAACGAAACGTTAATATAATGCTCAAGGAATTTCGAACTTTATCACTTTTTAATAAGGCAGGGAATATCCCAGCAAGGGCAGTTACGCCGGAGAGAGCGCGAGTTCAGCACGATAGCACAATGTTTCGTTGTCAACAACCGGAGGTCGTCTGTGTTCCGGAAAAAGGTCTAACCAACATACAACTTGCAAACCTTATTGCGATATCACATTTAACAAGCAATCCGTTGATCCCTTGATACAGGAAAGAAAAAAAAACTGATTTTATGTATTCACTGCCTGCATTTTCACAGTTTTTCCTAACTATATACTAGACTTAAATAAGACGTTGACGCTATCTCGCTCACACACGCACACATCTCACTCACTCAATATACACGTCTCATTTACCTCTTTCGATATTTTACATCGACACTATCGGGAGGGGGACTTAGTCAATTCCTATATTCCTATTATTGCTCGTTCGAAGCAATTATCAATTATTATAGGGTAGCTGCAAAGGCATATTTTTAATTATCACAATTTAAATTCACAGTAACCTCTCAGCTTTAGTTGCAAGTAATAACACAAAAGGAATTGACCGGGTCCCTTCACAGAAAAAAAAACTAAAACTTAACACATACTACAAAATGAATCAACATGAAAAAAAAAGTATTACAGAGATTATTGTTAATTTAACAAAAGCCTGAATCATGCGTGACCTTTTCATACGAGCAAATCGGGTACTGTGTTAAAAAATGACATACCTAACGTATTCACAAAGGCCGTACACGAAATAATTACAAATTTCATTTTATATTGTTGAACATAATTTCACGATATTAAGCTTAACACAATTAAAGTACAAATATATATAACTCTGTACATTAATTATACGTGTTGTGACAAAATATTCTATATTTATATCAGGCCTCCATTCGTACTATATATTTACATTTTACCATTCTGTTTAAGCTTTCTTATACAAATGCACATTGAAAACGAACTTAATCACAATTTTACGTAAGTATAGCCGTTTCTGGTACAAGTATCTGACAACACTTAGACGCTAGCCCTTTCTCACATATGCAGTTAGAGAAAGGCAGCATGAATTTAGTGATAACAGACTTGTGTGAGAGAAACGGCAATTTGCCTAATCGCAGTTCTATAACTTTTTATATGGTAAGGCATCGAGTTTGAACTTTCAAAATCATTATATCGTTCAACTCTCAATACCGTAGAGATATAGCACAATGATATCCAATCGAGTGCATCTCACACTATAATACACACAACTCGTCTCACATTAATACAATAAAAATTTACAAACAACCATTGCTACCGACATATGTGCGAATTCATAAAACAAATATAAAAAAAAAATAGATAATAATAAATAAAGAATGATTAACAAAAACACTACATATATAAGGCACGAGCCTGGAAATTAAAACCAGAATGTATGCGCTTGCGCGTCGATTACGTATCATAGTGTTAGGAACGCGACACACTTCGCGAATGTAACCTAACTCTATTCAAAGTCATTTTCAACCGATTTCAAAAAGTCAGTCTAAACCGATTTGAAAAATTATTTTTCATCTGAATGGATATAACTTACAGATTGGTCCTATAGAAATGTTATCCAAATCGGTGCAATAGTTTTTAGATCAAAATAACTGACTTTGTCACAATTAAAGTCGGTTTTTAGTGGGACACAATCTTTAATTATTATTAATTATAAGACCTTTATTCAAACAGAAAAAAATTACTCATGTTTTAATTATAATATCATTGTTAAATAGATGATAAAAATTATTAAAATTCTGTAATGATTAAGAACAATTGTATACTACTCGGGAGAAGTAGTCATTTTGTACAAAATACTTAACACAACTTTTACTAATAAAACCTACATAAATGTAAAAGTAAATTTATGATCAATATTTTATCATTGGATTTCCATAAAAAATCAATAGGCAATTTAAAATTAAATGGATCATAAGTGTAAATGTGTGCATATATGATAATTAAACACTCCATTAGATGCGACATTCGCCAAGTGTGCCCCAAACCTAACGAGCACGGTTATCGTAATTCTAATAGACGAAGCTAAGGTAAAAGGCGGTAACTTAATTTGTTTATCGACGTCAACCGCCTGTTCGCTTGAATCAAGCTCGTTCCAACTTTATTTTGATCGACTCGCCACTATTTTTTAACAATATTATAAAACCGACATTTAATCGATGCCTGACTGTCATTTGAACTCGGATTGATATATTGTTTAGAAACAGCCTGTAATCTCGTAGGAAGAGAAGCGATATTACATCGCCTAGACTTTACTACCCTTATCGATATATTACTTTATTATCGAGATCTCGATCAGTTATGAATTTATCCGATTATTGATAATTGAAAATCATATTATCCATATAGTCTTTAATATTTTCAATTTAATAGCTACAGAATCTCTTAATTCAGAAATTCAACACAAATAAATATGAATATTATCTGTTAGCTCACATTTCTTGTATATGTAAACTATATGAATAAACTTTCGTTTTTAACATTACGGTGGAATTGATCGTGTTCAAAATAAAAATTGAATACAAAAATTGACATCACACATAAATAAACATGACGTTTTTTACAATATTTTATTCAGTTAATACCAATTTTTTCAGGCTTGAAACTTGAAATGTATTAAGTAGATACTATTTTACATAAATATATATACATTTTAATAATTATTTTGTGTGTATGAAACCGACCAATTATCATAATTTCGTAACATTACTCCAAACGGAGCTAGTTATGCAGAAAACAGTAATTTGACTATTTTCTACATAGCTAATTGATTTTTTTTTTTTATTTTGATTACATTAGACAAAGGAAATAACGGTCATATTTTACATTTCAAGCAACAAGCTGATGTCCATTTGAATCCTAACTAATCTCATGTGACAATGTAAGCATCACTTATGTGGTTAAACAATAAATACTATCGCTTAGAACCTTAAGTATGAAAAGCGTATATCAGAGTTAATTAACGGACTTAGTTTCTATCTAACTAAATATATTGCGTCATATTATATGGCAACTTTATAGCATATGGTGACATGGTTTATAATTATTTGCACCAAAAATATAAACTGGCAGAATACAACACATGATTACTTCGTACTGATAAATTTGTCAACAATAAATAATAAATTTTGAGGCAAGAACCAAGTAAAAAAAAGCATTACAAAACTATAAATAAATACACATAAAAGACATCTAAATGTATTGTTGTAAACACCAATAGTATGACCACAGAATACGACGCAATACGTCAACAATACTGCGATGGTAGCCGTCAATAGTGACTTGAGCGGAGCAAAGCTATAATTTGTAATGTAAAAAGCATAAAATATTTCTCTCACTTGTGAACCAGACAACTTTTTTAAAAACCGCGTAACGACTTACGTAATCGATTTCAAACAATTCTTTTATTAATGCATCCCTCTCTTCTAATGTACAATACAGAAAGTAAAATTCGCGCGGCTACCATACCTCGACTATATATATCAGTATTATTATTGTGTATAAGACATTATTTAAAACAGGTGTACCAATAACGTTCAAAACATGTGCATTATGTATTATAAAAAATCGTTATGTATAATGTATACTTTGCACATAATTTTAGTATATTTATAAGTTAATTTTAAAATAATAATAATAAACCACAAAACTTAACTACAACTCACAATGTTAGCATTTATTTTGGGAGGGCCCGAATTGGACATAAGTGTTTGCCATACGATTTGCTCTTTCTGCCAACCCTATTGACGGCTACCGCAGTTTACACGCCAAAAGTAAGGAGGACATCAATTCGTTCTATTTATAAAATTGTACTTCCTAAATTCGCGTCGTAATGTGGAAGATAACACGCCTATGACGTACTCCATCTCTGTCGTTAGCGGTGCGAGTGAAAAGGAAGACGCAAGTTTTTACGCCTGCTTTTTACCTGCATACAGTAGTATTTTTTACTAAACCATTGTCGTTAATTTATTCCCCTAAGGCGGTGGTTTAAAGCATTGGATGGAATTCTTTTCGAATCTCATATCGATATATATAGATGTTTACGCGTAATAAATTAGCAGTAGCATTGATCAGACTATTTGCAAATTCAACATAACGCCTATAGAGAATTAGTCTTTTAATCCAATGTAGTCCATATCCCATAAAATATGAAGTATACATTTTGAAATTAAGTTACGCTTGTCCGCTCAGAAGGAAGAGATAATATGATGGGATACACTCCAAAACCATAAATATAATAAACATTTGTAATGAAATATATTGTTGTATGGTCAGAGCATAGAATGAGCCACCATTTCCTTTCCCGTGGGCATTGTAAGAGGCGAAAAAGGGAAATTAGTGGTTGACGAATGGACAGCAGCGTCCCTCTTAAAACATCACGAAAAGCCTAACAGCGGTTGCCAACCCGCCAAAGTGCTAAGTGGGGCAACTACTGGCAAAAATCTCCGTTCTGGGAAAGGCCTATGTTCAACAGTGGACAGTTAACGGCTGATATAAATGAAATAAATTATTACACATAATTACAGAAGCGACATTCTATGTATTAAGACAAAAAAAAACCGTGAGTATTCGAAATTTAAACAAAACACAACATAACTATCATATTTATATGGGAGATAAGGACCAAACTGGACAATTACAGTCTCCAACCGAAGCAGATGAACATTTCGCATAATCTAATAACACAATGCGTTTTAACTATTTTGTAGTACGCGCACGTCTGTTGCCAGATGTACGTCATAAATAGCACTCTACACACTCGCCGAGACGAATCGTCGAATGTCTTTGGCTAGACCTATCTCTTATATGGCATCACTTAAAGGATCACTCAATTAAGATGGGCGCATATGTATTTGGATATTATTCATTTATGAACTACTTTATATAATAACATAAACAAAAATTTTTGAATATAGGAAATACTATTTTAAATAAAAATCAGTGTGCATTATTAAAGTTCATCTGAGTGTGTGGCGAAGCTCCACGTGAGCGTGTGAGACTAGATAAAACTCTGCAAAAATAGTGATATCTCGCCGAATGTGTAGAGAGCGCTTAAGACTGATAAGTAGTAACCCCGGCGACAGCGTGCTAGTCCTCGCTTACCTAAGGCCAGTTATCTATGCTGAGGCGCTGGCCCGCTAAAATTTGTCTTGGAAAATAAAGAGGTTATTCGTCGCGGCGACTGCTATGATGCTCTCATGGGGGTGCCACGCTGTGTGGAGGATCTTTTTGTTGAAGTCGAGACAGTCGACACTTATTTCGTCCTAGGAATATGAAAAATTCTGTTAAGCTTGTTTTGTACATAACTTGGAATAGCAAAGCATATTACATTTAATAAAAAAAAACGATACTAAAATAAAAAACGTAATCTCTAAAACTACAATACACAATATTTGTATTGAGTAACAACTATAACTAGGTCAATATCATTGAATAATCTCATGGTCAAATTGAATATCACTTGAAGAACAAGTAAGAGTTCTAAATATTAGTATAGTCTACTCCAATGGAACAAGCAAATTTGTTGAAATTGGCACAGAAACACTTTGTAAACAAAATTAGTAACAATTTTAAACATTGTTATAAATTGACATTATTATTTTAACAAATCGAAATATACAATCAATTAATCGACATTTGATTTGTGTCACTCACTACTGGCCATCAGTAGACTGTCTTATGATCAAATCGATTATTCAGCTTTATACGTTCATTATATATCATTGAAATAGACGACTGTGGCTGTTTGTGTAAATGCATGTGAATATGCAAGTGAACGTAGGTTCATATACGAGAATACAAGTGCGCGAGACCACGCATGTAACAAACATGGACTGACTGCATGGCATGCTCATGCACTACAAGTACACGTAAATCTCTGTTATGTCCATGGTACTGCTCATGTCTATGGGCGACGGTTACCACTTTCCATCAGGTGGGCCGTCAGCTTGTTTGCCATTTTAAGCAGTATAAAAAAAATCACTGCTCGTGTGTGGAGGTGCGTGCGTGGGCGTGCGTGTACGTGCGTGGAGGTGCGTGTAAGTGCGTGGAGGTGCGTGTACGTGCGTGGAGGTGCGTGTACGTGCGTGGAGGTGCGTGTACGTGCGTGCGTGGGCGTGCGTGGGCGTGCGTGGCCGTGCGTGCGCCGTACCTTCTTCCTCTTGGCGGTGGCGGCGACGCGGCGCGCGCGCAGCGGCTGGCGGGGCCGCGCGGCCGCCTCGCGCGACGCCTCCAGCGTGAGCTCGCCGCGCCGCCCGCCCGCGCCGCCCGCGCCCGCCGCGCCCACCACGCCGCGCTCGAACACCCTGCACGAACAATGTCTCCATTTACCGTCCAATATAAACGTCGCACATTTCACTTCACTGTGAATAGCTCTTTATCCATACTAAAAAAATAATGTGAATGTGAGTTTGTTGTATGAAATTTGGTATACATGTGATGAAGAAGAATACATAGGCTGTATTTATATCGGTCAAGAAATATATTTAATTTGAAAAAAAAAACTGCCTTAACAATATTATTCCTCTGTGTTAGTCATGTTTGAATACAGTTTTGTCCAGGGGGAACCACATGGAGGTCGACCTAATATATTGGCATATTGCTGGCAATGGGGTTGTCAAACGCCATTGCTAACAATCCCTTTCCCCCTACAATTTTGTACTGTGCATTTTTATTATTAACTGATCTGCCACACTTGTTGCAGCCACTACCGCCACCTATCATGTTTATCGAGATAAAACAATCCTAAAAAAAAACACAAACTAATAACGAAATTTCATCATCAAATCTTGATTATGATAGTGCAATAATCACAATAGTCAAATGTTGTGTAATTCTAACAAAGATACCTTATACTGAGAAAACTAAATAAACTTTTGTCAAATACGATATTCTTAAGAAATCTGATTTTCTTTTACCTAAAGAATCCATTATAAGAGCCAGTCATGAGCCGCTGATCGTCACCGCTCCAACAGCATTCGAACTTGTCGAAGATACAGTCATTCTCGTACAACGAACACAATTTAGAGCGTAGATATTCGTGCACCTGGGTAATAATATAAATTTATTAATTAAATTAAATAAAAGCGATTAAAAAACCAAAGCGATTAAAATGTATAAACCGAATAAATTTATCATAACAATCTTTAGTAGTCAATCTGAATAAATTGACAATGTTGCTATCGAGTAAATTTTGTAATTTTCATTTTTTTTTTTAATTTGTATAATTTAAATCACAGATTCTCAGAACAAATCACAGATGTTTAAAATATAAAATAAATATTGTAAGAAAAAAATCTATACTTACAGGATATGTCTCTACTGGTTTTGTCTCCATTCGGAGATCCCATACTTTTAAACCTAAATAGTCCCTCGACATCATATATCTGCAAAGTAATAAATTTAATTAATTCGTAGATCCTATGACTTACATTTTTATATTACAATAAGTAAATAATTAATAAATACATAATAATTAATATGTTTTAATACTTTATAAAGACATAAATAAAATAATAAAAAGATTATTTTATTTATGTTTTTATATATTTCATGCATGTAAAAAAGTACAGAATAACACAGCATTCAACAAATACTATAAGCAAAACTGTTTTCGTCACTAAACATTTTTTGATAAGCTTATAACCCAAGTAGGATTATAATTCCATTATCATCCATTGAAAAAAATAAATAAGAAACCAAACCGACCTGCCAGAGTTGCTCAGCTTGACATCGCTAATAGAGGATATGATCTCGGAGAAGAACGACCGAGCATGAGGATCCTCGGGTTCTTCGAACAGTTTCGCGTGGCGGTCACACAGCGCCGCCGCACGCATGTCGCACAACCGGATCGTACCTGGATATTAAACTTATAATAAACCTATTAAGTCAACTATTAAGTCTTTTGTCTTCTTGTGCGCTAAATTCTCAATTTGAAAAAAGTGGCAAACACTAATAGGTTCGTTGTTGTGTCGAGGTAAGTTTTATGAAAAAGGTGTTGTCTTATTAATCAACTTCGATTGACGATTCTGCATTCAAGAATTTGGGCAATTCTTTTTTAAAACTGAATTCTCATACTAATATTGCCAAAAAGAAAATTTCATTTTTTATGAAAAATTATTGTTCACAAACTACATTTAGTTGCAATATCTATTTAATGTGTATATGTTTTATTGTATTCTGTCTGTTATGAAAGCCTGAAATATATTATATTATATTAAAAACAGTCTATACTCACCCTTACTACTAGAATATACAAAGAGATTACATTCAGTTGGATGAAACTCTGCAGCAGTAATAACCTGAAACGAAATAATTTGAATATAAATAAAATATAAAAAAAGTTGTTTTATTTCAAAATTTCATATTTTGAAGTTGTCTACATTGGTACAAATTTGAATAAAATTTGGCAGATATATAACTTAATAACCAAAGAAAAGTATTATCGGTCTTGATGGCATATATTCTTTATTTCTTTTTTAATATACAAATCTTTACTAATATTATAAATGTAGAAGTCAGTTTGTTACATCATAGCTCCTTATGGCATAAACCAATCAGTATGAAATTTGGTATACATGTATTATCTACGATGATGAAAATCATAGATTACTTTTTATCATGGTAAATGAATATATATCCCAGTTAAACGGACGAAGTTACAGGTAAAAGCTACTAAAATCATAAAAATAATTACCTCTGTGAGCTCCTCCATATTGGCTGGCTTGATATCCACTATGTTAAAGCTCTGATCAGTTATTTCTAAGTGCCAGAGGTTGATTCGGAGGTCGTCAGCAGATAGGTATGTCTCCTGATCGGAATTGAGCGAGATCGAATTTATGTGGTAAGTGTGAGCATTCGCGAATATTCTCCTAAAACAGAAATAATAGCTCATTTACCACAGATACTATCTACTATTTTTTTTTTTTATATAATACCTTAAATTTAAGAAACATGACAAAAACTGATAATGAGTTATTGCTGTAGAGAAAGTGCTTTATAAACTACAAATCAGAAGGATATTTTATTAAAAAAGTGGAGTATCAAACTAAGTTTTTTTAATCGTAAATGCTTAATAATATGTATTCTATTGTAACTTTATTTCTATGGTAAGATCTTAAATTATATAGATAGCGTGTCTCCATAGAAATGCTTCGAAAAAAAGCCAGTCATATTTTTCATACAATTTTGCGTGATGAATGTTTTCTTTACAACGTCCATATTTATTTTGTCTTATAAATTCTGCATCTTTTTAATGTGTAAACACTAATTTTATTAATTAAATATAGATACGTTAAGATACATTAAGTGCGTAAGGATATAGAACACTGATAAAAAAAACGAGTCAGCTAATTTTAGAATTAGCTGACAGAAAGTTGACCCATTTTTGAGACTCGATGCTCTATCTATGTAATGTAAGGGTAAGATGCACACCTACCATGGAAATACAAATGGTACTACTGTTAATACTAAAACTATGCTACTACTGTTCACAAGTGTCCTCCTCTGCTGTTATAAAGTGAATAAAAGCTCTTTGAAATTCGCAAGTACGTCTTTAAACTTTTTCACATGTATCACAATTTATAATTGTCATTGAGATTATTCGACAATATTTCATTAAGATACAATATAATATTCCAATTTTGTATATAGGTCAAAATCAAAATCGAACAGTCACCACCAGACAAAATAATCACTACCTCACGATAAGAGAGAACTAAAATGATAATAACAAACAAAACTATATGAAAGCAATAAATATTAATGAGAATAGCAAATCCTTCTTATCTGTTAGTAAATAAACACGAGAGTGTTTGATTAGCAATCCACATGCAGATAACTTGAGCAAACGTTTCGATAAGTGATATCGATACTCCACAATATTATTCAAATACAGATATAATAATAATGAAATATTGAAGTGCCAGAAACCTGCTCTAATTTTTATCAATCACCAAGTCTCTCCACAAAAAAAAATTAAATGTCATGAAGCATGACAAAATTTACTATTTAAGTAGCAATCTTACTATTCTTATTTTAAAATTAATAAAAATGCACCGACGGATGACGAGGTGCTTCGTAGACAAATTAGATTTAAATAATAAATTTAATTTGAGTACAATTCTTTTGGTTTAAATCTATATGGTTCTATGTAGTCTAGGTCTGTTTCGGCTTATAAATATAAACAAATCATAGCCTCACATACGTACTATCTATCAATATAACCCATGGATGAATACAAGTATTCTAACTTATAAAGGTAAATCAAATTCCAGCAAGTACCTACAATCACCAGCATTATAATACAATTTAGCTTTTTTGGATTAGAATTACAGAACATCTAGTTATGTAAAAGTGAGAATATATATAATGTGAAAATATGTGTAAGTTTATGAGTAAAATTAGTTCATGTGGATTGTAAGTATATTTACAATACAGGTGTGAATGGCTATAAGGACAGAGAAGACATGGATAGACTGTGTTTAAGATATCTTATGGCTGCAAATAAGGCTAAGAGCAGGATGATGACGTGAAGTGGCTATCAGTGCAAGTTACCTGGGCGAGGCCTCGACCATGAGCTCGGCGGGGCGGACGGTGGGCACGCGCAGCTGCGTGATCCGCGCCGGGTCTCGGGGCCGCCCGCCCTCCTCGCGGGTATTGTACCCCGTTACGCGCTTGTCGCGCTCTGACACCTACACACACAGGCAACATAACATTTAAAACCCCCATTGTAATAATCTAGCAGGCTCATTACTAGTAATATACCCTCTAACAAGTCAACCTCCATGCGGTTCTACCTGGAAATCACCATGGTTAATTTTTGATGAATTCATCACAATGGACCAACTGATCAGCTATCGCCCTCACTAGTGTCCTGCCAGATTAAACCAATAACTCAGGCCGGATTGCCATTTCATTTTCATCCATCGTAATGTAGTCAAGTGAACAGAAAATCATCATGAAGTTGTTATACCCCATAGTGCTTGTTCATGTCCATAGGCGACAATTATTATTTTTCATCAAGTAGGCCGTTAGCTTCTTTAACATTATGGAACTTACGATGAGTATTCTAAACTAAAATAAAATAGCCTGTAGTATTATAATTAGTCAGTACTAATATACTATAGGCTATTTTAGTAGAATTTTATGTAAGTGGGTTAAGATTTTTATATGTTCTCTCATAACTCTTAAATTATTTATCGTATTTTGACAATTATACAAGATGTCATTAAATGATGGCGACAGACCTCTTTTCATACAAGTTTACCTTTTTTAGATTTATATTTTTATATTATGAATATGTCTTTTGATACTTAATTTGTTTTTCTATTTGATTGACATATTGTTGTTTGATTGTGATCTCAGAAATTATAAACTCTCTAATAAATTATTGTCCGATTTTTAATATTCTTTCTAATAATAGAAATAACTTTTGTTCATAATGAATGAAAAAATACTTAACCGATTTTTAATATTCTTTCGATTATAGAAAACTACTGTATCATCAAATGAAATTATACTGTAATTTATTGAAAAAAAAAAGTGTACTATACAGAAAATTAAAGTAACTCAGCGTCACACATCTACAAAGATAAACCTTATTTTTATAATGATAACAATCTTCAATGTATTGATTATTGTGCAACAAATAAGAGTAGTTTTAAATCCTTAAGCATACGGTTGGCGCTTTGTTTCTTGTCCTTGATCAATCAATATTATCGAACTGACAGATAAGACAAACATTAATTGTTGTAAAACTCAATAAAAAGTAGGAAGTAGAGATTCCATAGATCAATTAACACCATTTTCCGTGGATTGAATCTTTTTTTATATAAAAATCTCGATAAATATCCAATATTTTTCTTAACTATTTCATCTTGTTTCATATTTACTCAAAAGGCTATCAATCTTTTTTTTTATACCACAGACATGGCGAACAAACGTACAGTCTACATAACAGGCTCTTTCAAACAAGAAACTGCAAACTAATTGTACTTAAATAAAATCCCTTCCGTTTTTAATTGCTATATAACTATTACAGTACATTACATATTACAGTACATTTATAACTACATATATAATTATATATTACAGCCAACCAGGTTGAATGTGGAACCTAAAAAAAGAAATGGTAAGCAAAAACTTTTACGTATAGCTATTATTATTGACTGACCTTCCATAGTTTGATAGTCTTGTCGTTGGTGGATAGTAGAAAATGCGCTTGATTCTTGCGCTTGAGCCACCTTATTTTGTTGATCTTCTCCTCGATTTCCAAAGACTTGAGGTAGTCAAATTCGGGCTCGTGTGACTGGAATGTCGAGTACACGTTGTACTCGCCTTTCTTCGGTACACATTGTTTTGATGCTGGATCTCTCTGTAAATAAAAAAAATATTGAAGTTATAACAAAGGGTTTGGTTTGTACAGATTTAAATCAAACTATATTTGACCCAACCTAAAACAAGTAATCTATACTAATATAATAAAGTAGAAGATTTTGTATGATCGCACTAATTTCTAGAACCACAGATAGAATATGAAAAATTTAAATTATCAAAATCATGATACGACTACGGGCAAAGGCCACAGGATATATATATAGCTAATGTGAATAATATATGTGAATAACAAAGGATAAATTTATATAAAATACCTGGGAATTGATAAAGAAAAAATGCCGAGGGTCCAAAATTTGGATTTAAAAAATATAATGATCCACAGAAATAAGAGTTTCTGAATTAATCTAGGTTACGAATCTAACTAAATGGCAATGTCGTGATGTTAGCTTTCAAAGACGACATTTTTATATATCTCAAATTATTATTTTAAAAAGTTATACCGCATAATTAAGCCATGCAAAATGTATTACTAAAATATACAATACTTATACATTTTACATGGCTGATACTTAACAAATTAAACATTTAAGAACTTTATAGAAAACCTCTCGCAAAATCTTAGTTTTGAAAGTTTGCGAATTGAAATTCACTTGTACGCACATGTGAGTCAACCCTATGGATTTCATACTTTTCGTTTACGATATCGCTAATTAGTATTCGTATATTTTGTCTATTATATTACGCATATAAACAGGTTTTGAATGGAATTTGTTTTACTAATCACATGTTCCTATGAGGTCAACATTAAGTATAAATCTTGATAAATAAAAAGGGTTTCTCAACCTTTAAATTTCCGGTTATAAACAAGTTAGATGATTTGCGTACGTGATTACAACCATGTTTTATAAGTAAACAACATACATGTGTATAACATTATGTACCTAGTTGTTTATATTTCACGCAAGACAAAAAAAATATTGTAACAAAATTGACACAACTTGGTGGCTCAGTACCATACTCAGACCCAATTCAGGTTGATAATATAAAATTCCGATCCAACTTTTCGGTGACGGTGGGCGTCATTAAATGACGAAAACTTAATGTTACGTACGTTTACGTGTTACCAACCGTGAGCAAATTTTTCATTTATCCTTACTAATATTATAACCCTGAAAATGAGTTTGCTAATTTGTTACCTCTTAGTGTCTTAACGGCTTAACCGTTCACTATGAAAATATTATTTTAAATATAATAAAAAAAAATTAAGTTAGTTACTAATTAATTTAATCAAGAAAATTATTAACTAAATTTAAATGTTCTTTTATTTAATTTGACTATTTTTCGTTTACGCAGACCAAATCGCAAGTAGAAGCCAGCATTTCATACAAAACAACAAAATATGTGACGCAACAATTAATGCGGGTCTCTCGGGTGAGACTAGCAGTGAGCAAATATGGGCATAGTACAAGTAATACAACTCAATCCATTATGGAAATAATTGCCAGAATTCAACAAACTTGACAAACCACTTTCTCCATCTTTTTGATACGAAGAATTTAGTATTTCTTTTTGTCTCCTATACGCCACAGCGTAAAATTACGATCTATACTACGTATGTTTATGTTTGATCAAGATACGGATAATTTATTAACGTATTCAAATTCTATTAATTAATCAATTTAAAGAAAATATTTAAATAACTAAAGCAAAACATCAAATTAGGCAATTGTCTATTGATCTATGATTAACTAATTAGGACACTGCAAAATTGTTATTTTTAAATTTTGTACCTATATAGAAATATATAAAATCGTTTTATTTTAATTGCAATTTGATAAATAATGCTGCAGGCATAGTTTTAATATACACCCTCTTAAAACGAAATATAGGACGTGCTGTTTTGTTCTTCCTCATGTATGCAATAGTTTGAACGTAATCAGAATTAGAATAAATGTTTTTTATATTATTATTATCGAAAACAAGCATAGGCTTGACTGATGGTAAAAGTTCATCTTAGCATATGGACGTCTAGAAGACACGTGCACGTTGATGAACAAATTTTATTTGCACCAAGTTATACTTAAACCTTATATACCCATAAGTAGATCTAGAACAGATATTAATAACAGTAACTTTGAGCCAATATTGAGACTTAATGTATAGCAGAGTGCGTTGGAAGTATTGTTAGGAATAGAGATTATTGATAATATACCTTTATCAGATCAACCTCCAGCAGCCCCTTAGAAACCATCGTGGTTAATTCCTGGTGAATTAATTACGATGGGGTTATTGACCTGCTTTCTATCCCCTATCTACTATCCCGTCAGCGTATACCGATAACGCAAACTGGGTTACCATTCCTTTTTCACCCATAAAAAACCAGTGTGTTGACGGCAATAAGACCTAAACTCACCTGAAAAATGACAACTCGTCCTCCCTTATCGCCGGTGGCGAGGAGTTCGCCGTCGTGGTTGAACTCTACGCACGATATGAGGTCCGCTTCAGTCACGTCATCTTCAAGAGTACCCTTCACCTGACTGAAACACCACGTCGTCTCCCCACCATTGCCTGTAATCATCATCACACTTGTAAACAATAATAACATAAATTTCTATAATAGTACTACCCTAACTAAATACGTTCCTTTAATATTATTTTCTAAAAACCAAATTCTCTCTAAATAAATGTGGGAACAAGAAGGAAATGTCTATACTCTATTCAATAAACGGGCAAACAAAAAAATTTGTTTTAATAATACCATAAAAAAAATATTACTTCCGATACCTTTTTCCTCTACGATAATACCGAATAACCACAATATTTAAGACCAAAAATTACATATGTTCTTTAATTTAAAAAATTAACTAAGAATCTAAAATAAATTAAACATTCTCTATTTGTAAATTTTATAAGAAAAACTACTATTTATTCTCTTTATGAATATTCAAATAACTTGTATGAAAAAAAGCAAAATAAATTATAATAGATTTATTCTTTAATAAATTACATGTAAATTATGCCAAATGCTTTATGAAGAAAGCAGAAATAGAGTGCCTACTGTCTTTATACTTAAGCTTTTAATTTAGTAACACAAAAGAAAGTTAGTAAAGGGATGCAAAATATTCAAAGGAAAAAAAATGGAAATGCAATATACTAGGAAAAAATAAAAATTCTACTTCTTTCGTGCCTTCATCCAAAGAGAAAGCAAGGAATATACGGCTGCTGAATAAAGGGCAGAGTTATGGTAAAAAAAAAAAGAAAAATAAACCAAATAGTTATTTGAAAATGATCATATGATAAAGTTAGAATTTTAATCCCACACTAAAGTTATAATGAGTAGTTGGCTCTCGCAATGGTTTTTGTACAATAATGTATTCTTAAACCAAGTATTATAATTTAAAAAAAAAACCAGAGACTGAGAAATGACTTGATTCATTTGAAGCAACTAAAAAGAATCCTGATTTAATAGCTCTCAAACAAAAAATCAAGAATAATATTTCGTTTCAGAAAATAAAACATAGGTGTCAAACAAATATCAAAAATATTTTATAAGAAGACCAAAATCACCAATAAAAAAATTATAATATGAAAGTTGGAGAAAAAGCATTTTTCATACATGTATGACTAGTGTATACACAAACAATGAAATTATTGTATGTATAACAAATACATTAACATCAATTTATAATTGGCGCATTTTTAATTATCCTTTTTCGACCTCTTAACATGTAAACAACTTATCTCACAAGACAGAAAAAAATTAAATAAACTTGTTTTAACGATATGCAAATTTCATATTCAACCTGTCTTCTACATACAGTCACAAATTGTGTTCCAATGCAGACGACAGGAATGGTGCCTCCAATTGGTGAAATTATCTTGAATTCTTATTCTGTGATTTGAATACCATGGCACTTCCCTCTTTTTAAGCATTTCTTATAGTACATCTATAGCTAATTATTGCAGAAACTGATAAAATATGCACAATATGTCTTTTTTTTAAGAGAATAACAGAAAACACAATTTTCCTGAAACATGTCACAAGTAAGAATGAGAAACAAAAATGAGTCCCTAAACCTGTTTTCATACTAGTAACTAAGTGAATAGTAATTTTATATTGTTGAATTAAAATCTTACTGCAACATGATACATTGCATTATTATGAGGGTAAAACAATAGGAAAATGTACAAAGGAACCCTTGCATGACGCAGTATTGAAGCTAAGTACATGTTGTACTTTATATATGAATAAACACATGTAAAGAGAAATCAGGTTTTATTATCAGTTAAGGGGAAACTCTGGTAATGTGAACACAGAAATCCTGTTGATAAAAGAGAAAACATCTATTACAGACGTAATTAAAGAATTTTCCATAATGATGCAACTGTAAAGTTCAATGGACATTGTAAGTTTCCCTGCTCTTAGATATTTTACTAAATTATCTATTTATAAATTATTACAATCAGAAAAAATTCACACTACTTTTTTTGCCAATTTTGATCCTTGCAACAATGGTTTTAGTAGAGAAATACCATATGTTAACACTAAAGAAATTGCTTAAAAACATTATTTAACTTTTAAAATTTTTAAAACACATTTTAAGTTTATTAATTATATAATTTTAGTTAAATTAAAAAAGTAAATGTGTATTCTAAGCAATAAATAGAAATAAACTTTATTTATAGACAAGTCAGTCACAGACAAGTCAGTCATTATATTCAAATCAGTAATTTCAATTGCATTTGTAAATATATCTATACTGGGGGGAGATGGGATTGTTAGTAATGGAGATTAGCATCCCCATTGCTACTAATAAGCCCTATCAGGTCGACCTCCTTGCAGCTCCCCCTGGAAACCATTGTGATTGTTTTATTGTTGAATTTGTCACAATGGGCTAACTGACCTGCTTCATCTTCACCTATCATCCCTCACTGGTGCCCTGCCAGTGTATACCAATAGAACAGGCGGAGTACCATTCCATTATCATCCAGTAAAAAAAAAAACTAATATTGTTTGCACTAACTTGAGGGATACTCTTTAGCTCAGTTAATAACAAAGCTTAGTTTAGCAAAAAATCCTTAATAGAGGTTAAACCTTAAACTGGACTTTCAACAATATTTTTCCTTGTTAATAATTATGTAACCATTTGTGTACAATAAATAAATACATAATTATAAATAAATACATTTCTTATTAAGACACAAGGGCATAGAGGTGTCAATAGTGTAGACATTCATCATGTCTCTATTTACTCCTTAATTGCAATATTATTTGTAAGAAACATCTAGCCAGTTAACTGTATCATATTAATCACAACAGCAACATATCATAATTATGACTTTGAATCAGTATTCAAGGATTCAGATATACTATTACATCTAAAATTTTAATAGATACAATACAAATTAATGAATACTGATAAAGATAACAAAAATTATGAGATGGAAATTATTCTCAAATAACTCCATAGTGTTGTCAACCACTCAGTAGTGTTTTTTTTTTTTTTTTAATGGATGACACTGAAATAGCAACCTTACCAAAATTATTGGTATATGCTAGCAGGACACCAGACATGGATGATAAGTGAAGATAAAATAGGGTCAGTTGGTCATTTCATCAAGACCAACCATAATCGCTTCCATGGAGAACTATACAGAGGTTGACATGGCAGGGTATATTGCTAGCAATGGCACTGGTAGTCCCCATTACTAATAATCCCTTCTCCCTCCTAAGAAGTATTTTTTATTTTAATTAATGAAAATGCAATAATAATTCCATCTGCACTATCAGTATACACTAGTGAGGCACCAGTAAGTGATAAAAGGTGAGGATCAAACAAGTCATGTTAGTCATCATGATAATCAACAATAATTAACTATAATTTCCAGGAAAAACCATATGAAGATCATCTTGATAGACTATATTGCTAGTAACATATCTTATAAGATCAACCTCCATATGGTTCCCCCTAGAAACCATCTTGGTTAATTCTTATGGAATTTGTCACAAAGAGTTAACTGGCCTGGTTTCATCCTCACCTATCATCCTTCACTAGTACCCCTAGTGTATTCAAATAGGTGTGGTATCAACCCATTATTATCAATAAAAAACCTATAAATTGCCATAAGAACTAATCTGAACCACATTAATCCATTTAAGAAGCTGGATAATTAAGCTTCCTAAATTGATTTATTCAACAAGTGGAATTGATACACTATTTGAATAACTATCATTTTTTTAAATATTTTAATATAGAGAACTATATATAAATATGCATATCTATTTCTGAGGACTACTACACTTCTGTAATTTATTGCCATGTCCCACACTTCAAACTGAAGCAGGGCCATGTAAGCACAGGTGCTTGGCAGCAAAAACATAAATGGAACATAAATCCCTATGTAGAAAACTGGCAATCACTTTCTCTTATTCATATTTATAATCTAATTGAACATTAGTAAATACCATTACAGACTGGTAAAAATACTAAAATATAATACATTGATAGTTGTGTTACTTATAAGGGTGCTATTTTTATATAATAAAATAACTTCTAATGTGTTTACATGTCTAGAAAGTTAAAGATTTGATACATTTAATAAATGTTTAATAAATTTATGTTAAAATCAGATTTATAAATAAATCTATCATTGTTTGTACTTACTCCATAAATTATGAAACTGCATTTTATATTGTAAGGTTTTCTTGAAAAAAAAAAACTTCAGCAATATAAGTAGAAAAATAATAATGAATAATGCATGACATAATAACCATTAATAAACCTTCGGGCTATAAATATCATAGATTTAGATTAAAAAAATAAACTAACCAAATTAACATTTGTTTACAAACACAGTCAAAACAGCTTTGTTTATTCAGGAAGTCTTCCATTCATCAAACCTTAGTTATAACATATTGTCCAACAGTTTTTACCCCACCATTTTGTTTAAGTTTTATCTAAAACTTTAAAAACAATTGTACTTCAAACAACATATAATAAGTGTCAATGTTAGATCAATTTTATTTCATATCTATTCACCCTAAAACATTCGATTTTAGCCATTTAGATAATTCATGTATGTAGGTAATTCTACTACAACTATAAACTGAAGTTCTATCAAATTACCAACATAGTTACTATTTAACCTGCAAAATCATTTTCAACATTTCAAAAAAGGATTTATAATGGATAAATATTGAAATTCACTTCTAGAAGCAAATAAACGAAATGTCTGTCATATACTAAACACAGTAATGACCTTCATAATCAACAACTGCAATCATCTGATCATATACAAACACAATCATTGTCGTTCGCATAGTTAAGTAATTTATCACCTTCACAACATAATTGAAACCAGAAACACCGTTGCGAGAACCTTCTTTAGACTACATCCTTAGCATAACAGTGAAATCACGCAGGAAAAAGTTAAAACTATCGGCATTATGATAACCAAACACTTCAAATCCAAGCCATCGTCAGTATGTAAATAGTAAATAATGTAAACCACACTATAGATTTAACATTACATTTACCGTCTGAATTCGAACGATAAAACATCTTCGAATTATTGCGATTCCCAAATCCAATTTCGCCCTTGATTAGCGGGCGCTAAAAGTCACCACTTACCGGCCATGACAAAGCCCAGCACAAAAACTATATGAAGTTCAATAGTCTTAGTACACAATCACTTCAGTGTTTTGCTAAAACATCACACAAATTTGTCGATGAAAATAGATTAAAAACATTTCAATATTTCATCCGTAAAAAGCAATGGCGGTGAGAAATACATACAAATAATTACTACTGCAGAATTTAGTGTTGCCATATTACGAATCTAAAAACTACACACTCCTTCACTTTCGTAGTTTATGTAATTGTAACATAAAATTATTCTTAATTAAAGTACAAGAAAGTATAGAAATATTTTGTGTTTTACTACTATTTGTAATAATAATTTTATGTATCATAGAAGTAGAAGAAATTTTATAGAAGTATTTCTAACTTATCAAAAAAAGTCTCTCAATAATTGTTTAAAAAATTAACATTATGATTAAAATACAATTACAGAGAGACATAATTTTGTATAACATTTGTTCAAAATACTTTTCAGACAGTAATTAAAGCTTGACGTCTCAATATCATTATTAATGCTTATTATTCTGGATTTATATAGTTTATATTGTGAAAGACCACTATATAGACTACTTATATAAGAATATAGCATATAAAATAATAAATATATATATATATATATATATATATATATTATTTATGTGGTATCTATAATGCATATGATAGAAATATATAACATAATATTAAAAGTTTCATATAAAATATTACACAATCCAAATGAAATATCTACTATAGTAGCACTAAAGTAAACATTGGCAACTTATATGGTTAAAATGTCAAATTCTGAAGTTTGGTTTGTAAAGCAGTCCAAAAAAGCGCGCATTTCAATCGTAAGTGCTGCCATCTATGTTAACTATATAACAATTTTATTAAACTGTTTTACTGACAATAAAGTTATCCAAATTATTGTCCTTATTATTTAAATGTCTATGTTATTTGCCAATAGATCTAAATTAAATTCCTTTACATAATTATCGAAAAATATTTTAATTTTTTTACATATTTAGACATATAAAAACTACGAGATAACTACCTAATTAATGAATTAACCCAAATAAAGTAATTTTTGTATAACTTCCGGTCAACAATTTGAAAATAAAGAAAAATTTGAACTTCATTTCATGTCAGTTACAAGTTCTGGAATTTTGCGTTAATTTATTATCTAACACGTATATTCCCTGTATACAAATGAGCGCTGATATGTACGATTCTGTAAGTAGATTACTCTATCTATCTTTTAATAAATAGTAATTTAAAACTTATTTTCTCATCTGCTAATTATTTAATTTGCTTAGCTTACTGAATTTATTGCTAAAACATCATTAACATAATTAAGTCTGCCTTTTCTATCTTTTTGTGTTGTGATCAAGAAAATAAATAAATAAATATCACTTAAACTACATTGGTTATTAAATAACCTAATTATCTTTATTTTATATAGCACAAATTTTAATAACTGATAGATAAGTATGAAGGAAAAAGGATTATTTGTAAAGAAATCGGACAGTCCGATTACAACTAGCATAGCTTATCAGGTCCACCTCCGCGTGGACCTTCCAAGAAGCTATCATGGTTAATTCTTGGTTGATTTGTCACGATGGGCTAACTGACCTGAGTTCATCCTCAAATATCATCGTTTATTAGTATCCAGTAAGCATATACTGATAGTACAAGCCAATTATAATTATTTTCATTCTGTTCAATGTTAAATAGATACACTACGAGTATTTCTTTGTAGAATTATAGGAGTAAGAATTATTAGGCCTTTCCAAACGCTCTATCAAACGAACACGCATAATTATAAAATAAGTCCTTTTAAGAGAATATACTAATAAAAATAATATTCTTCTCATACATATTTTCTCAACAACACTCCGTAGGTAGTTCATTCTTATTTATCGATTCATGTTTCTTTAAGATAAACATTAAATTTGACTAATAGAAGAAGATCTGATTACACTCTGTCACACTATACACCATAGATCTACAATCATCATAACCTTCTATCCAGATCCATATTGAACTCATATTTGCAATACTATAATGCGCGCACATTGCCTGATCATGGCCTCGGTGTTTACCACGGTCACATAACATATGGTTGACATGTCGCCATAGGCTCTACTAGAACCTTATTTTTATCGTTACTTACAGTTCATAGTACGCACTCTATATACGTAGTAGGAAGTTTATCTCTTCTATAGTAGTGTCAAGGCAATGTTTTTTTTTTTAAGACGTGAGTCAATCATGTTCGTTGTAGGTACTTATAAATATTTCTAATTATCATTTGATATTTCTCACGAATTATATTTTTGATATATCATAAAAAATATCAACTTTGAATTCGTAAGAAGACGTACTAACTATTGTATATTGAGGTTATGACTCGAATTTTAAAAATATTTAAGATATGTAATGCAACAAATATAAGCGTATTCAAGATATCTAATTAATACGTATATACATACACCTTTAAATATGCTTATCGCAATAAATCCTTTTTAAAAATTTTGTCGTCAAAGTAAGAATCAATACAAGTTTAAAAGCCAGACAAAGTGTACAATTCAAGCAGAAACCCAAAAGTCTGGTTTTATTATTATATCAGCCATTAACTGTCCACTACTAAACATAGGCGGTCTATTTTCAACAGTGAACAGCTAATACCCCTTATGTGGACGACTTATGATAGGCCACCTGCATAAGGGGTATTTTGCCAATCGTTGCTACTGGCAAGATACCCCTTACGCTATGTTTTAAAAGGGACACTGCTACCCATCCCTTGACCATTAAGCTCCCTTAGTAGCCTCTTACAAACACCCACAGTAAAGGAAGGGGTAGCCTATTCTATGCCGGGACCACACGGCAAAAATCTGGATGAGTCGACACAAATTCAAATGAATGGTAATGGTGTTGCTCAAAACTTTCAGCAATAGTTATAAAAGTAATACAGAAAAATATGCGAAAACATAATAGATTACATTATCGAAAACAACTCAATTTTTTGTGTCGTTAAACCCAAATACCTCAAGGACAACTAACAGTAATATGTAGGTAGATACTTACACAAATATTTCGACTTAAGGTAATAAGATGTCATGGCAAGTCCGCATGATATTGAATTTATAAGGAAACAATTCAAATAAAATTAAAAAATTTCCGTTGTTACTCAATGTGGGCACAGCTTATATCAGTTTTATAGAAAAATATATAGACTATTAAAAAAATGTTTTTTTATTTATAAATTCTTCTGCACTAACGGCTAAACAAAATAGTTAACTCCGATGCTTTATATGTACTATTCGTAACTAACGGTAAACCAAGGTTGCCAGACGCAATTATTGATTTTTACCCAAATATCAAATATGTTTATTTCTTCAAATCGATATAATTTCCTTTATTTTTACGTAATCACAAATTTCTATCGATTTTCACTACATTTTAGCATGAATCACAAAACGAATAACAAAAAAAAAAGTAAAACCCCGTTACTATTTTTCTTCCTTATCATATCTTCTGTTCTACTACCTTCATTTATATATTTTATATACCGCTATATGGTTTACAAATACCAAAACTATCAAAAATTTACACAATTCTCTAAACCCATTTTACTTTTAGGGTCGGCAACGTGCGCGTAATACCTCTGGTATTGCAGGCGTTCATATGCTACGGTAACCGCTTACCATCAGGTGGGTCGTATGCTTGTTTGCCACCTCAGGGGTATAAAAAGAAATACTTTTCTCCAGAAATTTTTACCGGAATTTATTTCTCCAAAGTTTCGCAAACAGAAATTTTTTTACTAAAAATTGCAAAAATATACTCGTTGCCGCAAACATTATAGTTTGTGGGGCGGCTGAATACTACAATAGTATATAAACATACAATCTGCCACATGGCAAACTGTTGCGACATCTACAGTCACCATTCCATTTATCAGAAGTCAGAAAAATTATTTATTAAATATCCAATAAGTATCAGGTAAGGCACAGAATTAACTACCGTGTTTTTATTTTTTAATGAAAGAAATCTTAAAAGAAAACCGTATGTCACTAAGGTAAGTACTCACCATTTTTATTTCCGTGGTCGAATATGATGCTCAGTTTCTGAAGACTGTTCTGTTTGGCTTCAGCAAACAGCCTCCGTTTGTTTTTTGGTGATGACTGCGTGGCCAGCGGTGACACTACCATCGTTGTGGTCGCCATTCTTTCACTTCACCATGTCATATACTGTAAACAAATAGTTTATTGCATGAATAATGTAAAAAGAAGCATTTAATATGCTTCCTTAAAAGTGAACTATTTTCACTCGATAGCTCGCATGAGCATAAGCAGAAGGGGCAATGGCCAATGCTGTTCAAATGGTTCCTACTTTTAAATTTCTTCTTTTAAATATAGAATTGTATTACAACTTACATCATAGATAAATCAATAATACTTTCTTTATTTTTATTTCTTTTTGTGTCTATTCTTAAGCAGAAGAATATATGGCTTAAGTACTTATTGTGCAAATCTATTATATATTTAAACTTACAAACAATACCTACTTAAGTGATAATTTAGCTATTTAACATTATTAATGTTTTTGAGAGACATGATACAACTATGTAAATTATTAACACAAACATCTATCGACTATTAAGGCCACGCAAAGTCAAGGATTGGAAATTGAACTCACACACCATTCCGCCATGTAAATTGATCTTCTGTAAATTGATTTAACATATAATAAACATTATAAATAAATTATTTGTCATTAAACAAGTTCCAATGATCTATCTAGAAAAACCAAGTCTTTAATGTTATGGGAACTTCCTAATAAATGTCCGATGAGCAGGAAGAGTATTCCATCCTGGTGTTACAGGCGTCCATAGGCTACAGTAATTCCGTTTATCATCAGACTGGCCGTATGCTTGTTTGACATCATAGGTGTATAAATTAGGGTTTGTTAGAAAAAACACATTTTCATGCTATAAAAAAATGTTTGAAAAAATAAATCCAGCTGTGTTTACTATTATGTTACTTTTAACTAAAGAAACTACTGTAAATTGCAAATACATTCAAATAATAATATATTTTTATTCATAAGTTACTTGCATTAACACAATTTTCTTCAAAAATAAACTGAAACTTATAGATAGTAAGGTGACCAACTATTTTTTGTTCAAAAGGAGTACACTTGCCAAGTATTTCATAGGTGAAAAAAAAAAGAAGAAAAACGATAAAAACTTTATTTTCTTTTAAAAACATATTTTTTCTTCGAAGTGGATTTTTTTTTGCTAAATGAGGATGTTCGTCTAATAATGTAGCCACATCCGAACAACTTTCATTTTACATATTAAATTTGACTGTTAAGACGGCAGATAATGTTTTTACAGAAAGTTGCGACTTCTTACTGCTCCAATAATCATTCCCTAGTGAAAATACCCTTTCAACAGCAGCATTAGTGCCTGGACAACATAAGGAAATTTCTATTAAAAGTTTTAAATTTTCATGTGGGATATGTTCTACCTTTTTTTTTTAACGTCTGGAAAATGCTTTATGCAGACCCATACACCTTGTGGGAGGTGAATGGGTACTGTGGGAATCCCCCGTAAGGTGGGGGTGTACCCACCAAAAACCAGACGATATACCCTCGAGGTGCCATATGTCGGAGACATGGGTTCGCTTTCGCACTAACCACATCTCCGATGGCAGCGACCCGCCCCCTAATGGTAAAAGCAGGTCTCCTCTCTCATCGTTCCATTTCTCCAATTTTTCTTCATTTAAATATAAATTTATTCTTCGAATTTCTTCAAAGAGAAAATTGTCATTAATAAAAATAAATATTACTTCCTTCATTACAAATTCGACTGCTGCAGAAATACGACAGAAGAAAGAAAATTAAAATAAAATAGTCTATAAAAATATTTTAGTAATACAAATGAGCATAAAATTATACAAATGAGTACTTATAGAATACAGAATTTGAAAAGAGTACGGTTTGCGAAAAAAGAATACAAAACTCAGTAAATGAGTATAGTTGGTCACCTTATAGATAGGTAAAAATGTTTTCTAAAAATGTTTCTGTATCTATACTGTAGGTATAGATAGAATTAAATAATATTCTTATGGTACATACTATTACACCCAGATAGCATTGTTGATAAATAAAATCATTTACAAACATATTGGTAAATGCTTTCTTATCATCGGCTTATGTCAAGTGCGAGCAGTGAAATCATTAATTACACCGAGGTCAATGGCAGTTCGCAGACTCGCGACATTGAACTAAATTCGTACTCTTTGAAAGATATGAATTATTGTATACCTATCTATCTACGGTAAACGCTACTAAATTGCAATTTTGCTATGTTTATACAAGTATAAAATGCTATATGCTAGGTCATTGTAACTAGAACAATGAGTTATTTTTATTTTTTTCATGCAAGCAAAACCACAGATTGATAATAGTTCAGCTTATTTTATAAATTCACACATTTATAATATACTAACGTCTTTAATCCCAGAAGTATCTATACAGACAAACTTATATTAAAATTTTTACAACTCGTAGTTTATATACAATATGTCAATTACTAACCTAACCTAACCTATTTATAAAATTGGTGTTAGTATTCATTAATAGGGTTAAAAAAAAATAAGTAATATATACAATGTACATACCAATTATTATGAAGTGTCGTTAGTTCCGATACAGGTTTTTCTTTTTTTCAGAGAATTTTGATTTATTATTTTTAGATTTTGGTAACATAAAAATTTTTTCTAGAAAAAAAAACATTTGTTTGAAACCGTAATCAAATGGGTTTAAGTAATTAGCATACTATACGTATGTTTGGGTAAAATATAGGTACAGTTTCATTAGCAAAACACTCTTAAAAGAATGAAATTATTTTTATTTTACCCTTTTCATTATACAATAATCAAAGATTATTCATTCATTCTGACAAACATATAATTTTGTCGGTTAAAATCATTTGGACTAACGTTCTCTCTTGTGAGGTTTTAACGCACCGCCTCATAGACAAGGAATAATCACCGTTAAATTATCCCCTAATTAAAGTAATCAACAACAGCAACGCTGTTGTCAAGCTTGTATCAGCGTAACAACCAGTTGATATATTTTTTTTATGAGAGCATCTTTACCTACACCGACGGATTACTTTATTTAGCCGATAATTAAGAATATACTCAATCTATTATAAAAGTTGATTTCTTGTTTGCTCAATTACAGCACTCTACGGATCAACTAACGAGAGAACGAGGCATTTGTATAGAGAGTATGTATATATTTGTGCTTTAAGGAAATGTATAGAATAATAACCAAATATCTATTCCAATCGCTAGCCGGGACCTGCAGGAGCTACATTAATACTGATAGATACCTTTGTATAACGCTCCTAGTTATCCATCCGGGACGACGGTAGGTACCTACTTTTTTTTTTGATGGGTTAAAATGGTATGGTAACCCCGCCTGCGCTAATGGGACACGCTGGCGGAGCACCAGTGAAGGGTGATCGATGAGAATGAAAACAGGTCAGTTAGCCCATAATGATGAATTCATCAGGAATTAACCATGATAGTTTCCAGGGGAACCACGAGGAGGTCGACCTGGTTGGATATATTGCTAGCAATAGGATTCTCAGTCTCCATTACTAACAATTTCTTTCGCCCCGGTAGGTACCTACTACTACAGTATAAGTAATAGTAATACTAAGACTAGGCTTACTAACAAACAACGATAGGTAGTAAGTTCTCTGACATTACGGGCACTAGGCAAAGCAAAAATATAAGATAAATAGTATGAGCCCCATTATACCTACACTCCTTGATCATAATATTTAAATATATCTAATAGAGTATGGAGAATTGACGATATGTCATATTTATTTCCTTACAATTTTTATTAAGCTAAAATTCTATTGCGCCAGGGGACTGTGACGTGAGAAACTACTTCATGGCACTGAAACAGTGTCAGAAACGAATCGCAGCTAAACCATACACGGCAGAGACTTGTCACCAAGAAACGGTGGATTTGATTGAATCCATTGATCGTTGTGTCGCTGATAAGGCGTTTGTCAAGTTCGCCTGTCAAGTCAAGTCAGTTATTCTTCGGGTTGGAGCTGGGGAATGAATTTCCAATATATTTTTTATTATTGTACTATATAATTATCACCAATTTTATTTTTCGTTAAATCATATTTGAACTCATTTTAAGCTTCTTAGCCTATGTGAGATAGACGACTATAATAGCATTATTCCGCAACATGTTATTTTTAAATTTATTTTTATAAGTACCGTAATATTCAATTTACCCTCATTTCAAGTATTACAATGTGGCAAAGGGTAACCCAAGAATTCGATTACAAATACATTGCAATATGTTGGCGAACCTACCGTTCTTATTAACAGTTTAACCAACACCAAAGAGTATCTTCACAAGTTATTTGAAGGTAAATATTTATTGTATTATGTTTTTGCAATTGTCAAATATTTACTTTTACCAAAAGAGACGATTAAATTTTTACCGTTATAACAATAGAACGATTAATTAGAAAAAGCATTTTAACGACTTATTTGTGTTACAAAAATCCACTATTCATCGTAATAAGGTTAATGTTGGACCAACACTGGAGAAATAATGCAACCATCAAAATATATTCATAATTGGTGAAAATAACTTCCTAATTTCGAAGTCGGTTGAAAATATTAAAGGCATTATATACAGTCCAGACAAGGCACACTAGGTTATAAACACGTTTATCCCACTACATTATGATTAATGATCTAATGGGCAGAATATCTCAAGCATTCCTTTACGATTTGCCCCCATTATCCCTCACTTGACATGAACGTACACCATAAATACGATCTACTTATTTTCTTTACCTTCATTCAACAACTTACTTCTCAATATCCCATTTCAAATCAAAAGGTGCTCAAAAATAATATATTAAGGAAACATAAGATACCAACTATGATAAAGCAGTCAGAGAATATCTGAAAACACAACCAGAATATACTTTTTTTTTTCAATTAGAACAAAACCTTATGGATACTCAATCGTATTAGAGCAACAAATAGTTTATAACTCTTGTTTACCTAAATCTTACTGGTGTTTTTTTTTTTACTTTGGAAAAACAGGAGATATGGCTGTAACACATTTCCATCAGCCCCTCCAATGATTTGAGATAGTAAGAACTTTTATAAAGACGTCCGAGGACATCTAAACCAGAAAGTGATATTATGCTATAAATATTAGTACGACTGTAAATTGAACCTAAGGCAGTTCAATTACACAGTGTCTCTTACCACTGTAGTAGCGAAGTATTCATTAACTAATAAAACGTAATAAATTTTTTTGAAACTGACTTCATAATTATAGTAATAAGATCTAAAATTTACTAATTCTTCGGCATATTAATGCCGTGAACGATAATCGCAAGCATGGCGTGAATTTACAGAGTACAGAGGAATAACACCTACGTCCTCAGGAATGGCAACGCATGGGGGGTATCATGGGCGAAACAGTATACTCTGTTATATCCATGGTACTGCTCATGTCTATAGGCGATGGTTACCGCTTTCCATCAGGTGGGCCGTCAGCTTGTTTGCCATTCTAAGTTGTATAAAAAAAATATTACCTACTCAAATTTGCAAAAAGCTCTTTATAAATACTTTTTATAATACAGCTGTAACTAATATCACTGGACCGATTTAAATCAACACTTGGCAGTGAGTATGTAACTAGACTATATTGTTCAAAAATAGATAATGGCTACTTGACACTATCAGAAATTGAACTATAGTAACCGAAACTTAAAGATTAACAAATACAAATACGAAAAATATTAACGCTATTTGATAAGTGCGTTCGTATGAACTGAGAGAAGGAAGTAGTGATAGCTCACTACTTCCTTCGAAACATTTTCTACAAATTTAAGAAATTGAACACACATTAACCATAGATATTAACTTTTTTTTTCTGCTCTTTATTACAAAGCCAATGTTGCCTATGCTACGTCATCAGATATCGCACACGGAGTCACGTAATAAAATCCATATCAAATCAGAACTGAGGAACATGTAGGAAATAATTGATATTTCGTGAAACGCCTACATATCGAATGATAAAATGCAAATAATATTTCCACATATCATAGTACCTTAATCTAATTCCATTTGATAAAAAATATTATTACAGTCCTGTCACTAATATAGGCACGTGTTGGAAGAGTATTAACTAAAACCAATAGTGCTTATTAATTATATTACAGATAATACGTTTTTTCTATCTTACTACCAGAAGAAGATTAGGAATAAAAGTCTGCATGGGTATACACATATTTGTGCCACTCATTCCTGCTTCAGGACAATTGTATTTGTATGACTTTTTGAATGACAACATGGCTTTAGACTTAAAAGGGGCAGGGAAATTATAGTGCCTTATTTCTCAGGAATGGTAATTCATGACAGGTTTTATGGACATCACAGAATATTATGGGATGTGTATGTATATAGGCGAGTGACGGTTACCACTTTCTATCAGGTGAGCGGTATGCTTGTCTTACCATGATACCCTACCTGTACGATTTTGAGGCGCTATTCCTCTTAAACCTATCTCTTAATGTAATATTTTAATTAAATAGTTTAGATAAATTGCTGTTTTATGAACTATCATAAACTAAATTTATAATAATTTTGACAATTTCGTTATGTTCATTAATTGAAATTTCAATTTTAGAAATATTTCTAGAGAAATAGCTTCTTAAAATAGACCCCATTACCTACATAAAAAAAATAATAAGATTGTCTACCACAAAACCAACTTCAATCGTAGCAAAATCAAATATCTTTTAAAAAAATCTAAATAATTTGATTTCAAAACTAAACTACTGAACCGATTTTGATAAAATTTCTATGAGATCAGTCTGAAAGTATATCCTTTCAGATGAAAAAAATTTTATGAATCGATCCAGGCGACAGTCTGAGAACATAGATAAAAAAACAAAGATTCCAACGAATTCAAAGGCTCCACATTTTATTGAAGTCGGTTAATAGTATACGTACAGACTCCTTGAGTAATGCACGGTCACATGTCGCAGCTGCATGCGTTCGTTACTACGTACTACTACGTGCATCATTAGCAGAGAACAAATTATTTCAGAGGCGTATTTTAAAATACGGAATTATATTGTTTTACCTGTAAAATTTTTATTTTAGGATCAATGAAAATGATGCGTTAACTTTTTTTATTCTTTCATAGAAAACACCGGCGTGTATTAAATAATTAAATAATAGCTATTTAATGAAATTAAACTGAATATATAAAAACATGTGAAATAAATTTAATTATTTAAAATCTCAGGAAAGGATTAATGAAATGCCACATTATATTAAAGGGAGGGAAAAATCGAATTGAAAAAAAAAAATACGTGCCCTTATCTATGCATGGTATGTTTTCTATGAGATTATACTTCTAAAGTACCTAACTTGAACGGAATACTCAATCATGCAATATTTCTGCTTACAAATTGTTTTGCTTGCTCAATACAGCCCTGGTTCATTACATTAATGACGTCTGACCACTGTTAGACCGTTGGTTATTTCTACTGGCGTCATTTCATAGTCATAATATTTTTCCTTTTGTCCATAGTCCGACGCGTGCAATGTCGCGTGCGCACGTGCTTCATCAGCCTACCTACCATGAAAATATATCTGTAACTTCGAGACCGAACGAAACAATTGTTTTTATATCGACATGCGATAGTACTCGTATATCAAATGCTTACTAAAATAGAATTCGATGTACATACATACAGAATAAGTACAATTCACGCAGGATTAACCCTTGAGTAAAGCGAACCTAATTCACTACTCAACCTTCCAATGTCCGCTTATTTACGTCTTTTTTTTTTACGCATCTCTTAAAGATTTGTCATAAAATTATGAAGACAATTTCTTTATGATACAATTTCAATCTTTTTTTTATTGGGAGGAAAAGGAATTGTTGTTTATGGGGATTAGCGACCACATTACTAGCAATGAACAGGTCGACCTCCACGCAGCTCCCCTTGAAAACCAGTGATTGAGTAACAAACATATATAAACATCATTATAAACTTATATTTTATAATGTATATTAATATAATTACCCTGTGGTCCCGACATACAATGGTCCATCCATTCCTTTTCTGTAAGTGTTATAAGTTATAATATAAAAATAGTTATAAAATCGTTCAATAAGACTAATTGATTTATATCTATATCTTTGTATATATTAATTATTGTACGTGACTGTACATCTATAGGCCCCATAATAATTCATTCTAGAGATATATTTTTCTATTATCCTCATCAAATATTCTTGTCGTGTAAACATATTTATATACAAAAACCATTAAATGAAAATACAACCTGATGGACTACGCACATCCCGATATAAGTTATATGATGTAAGAGTTGCTATGGCAACCTGGGATTAAGAACAGTGACCTAAGATAATCCTACTCCTGTATTAAAATTTCTCTTCTCTAGATAGTTCCATACTATACCTACCGCGTGTATGAAAATATGCACACAAAATTTGAAATAATTTTCTAGAGTCTTCAGTTATTTGCTTTCATGGTTAAAACGAATAGCCAGTGGTCAAGTGGTCCACTTTCTTATTAAAATAGAGGCCTTAGATTTGATATTGTTTAATATGTTAAAGCTACTACCGATAATTATAATCATGACTATATTTATTTGTGGTGTAACAAAGATTCATTTTATTAGTACCTAAAACATAAAACTACTGTGGTTAGAAATTTATATATAATTACAATTCATACATTCATGTCTGCATCCTATAGCTTAATAGGTATGTTGAAGCAAAGATTCCCATATTAGTTGTCCAGTCTGCTCGCGATGTAGTCCATCAAACCTAATATATGATGAAGAAATGTTTTAGATAACTCCGTAAAAGCAAAAGTAGGTAGGTACAATGTAAATAGATCTCTCATAAAGGAGTGATGACCTGAATGTATCTGTAGTGTAGTTTTAGGTAGTAGGCTACGGTACAGACTATTCAATGGAAATGATTGAAACAATGATAAGAGAAATAGTAATTATCTACTAATTAATTTAAAAATACATTATTTTAAATAAACTTATTATA